ATCCAGAACTTCTCCTCCTCCACCATAACCCTCAGCACTGGCTCTCCTCAGGGCTGTGTGTTGAGCCCTCTCCTGTTCACTCTGCTCACATATGATTGTGCAGCTACCCATCCAGGCTGGCATATTGCAAAGTTTCCAGATGATACAGCGGTGGTGGGATGCATCACAAACAATGATGAGTCCAGCTACAGGCAAGAGGTGGAACACCTGGAGAGCTGGTGCAAGAAGAACAACCTTCACATCAATGTGAAGAAGACGAAGGAGATTATCGTGGATTTCAGAAGGAGCAAACACACACCCCCACTCCCCGAATATACGAGGATCTGCAGTGGAAGTGGTCTCCAGCTACAAGTACTTGGGTGTGCACCTGAGTGACAACCTCAGCTGGAGCAACAACACCACCAGCCTGATCAAGAAAGTTCATCAGAGACTCTACTTCCTCAGACGGCTGAGGCGAGCTGGTCTGGGAAGCTCAGTCCTCACCTCCTTCTACAGGTGTGCAGTGGAGAGCATCCTGTGCTCCAGCATCAACGTGTGGCATGGAGGCTGCACAGCTGCAGAAAGAAAAGCTTTGTAGAGAGTGGTGAAGGCTGCACAGAAGTCTGTTGGAGTCAGTCTCTCCACCATCACAGACATCTACACCTCCATATGCAGGAAGAGGGCCACCTGCATCATGAAGGACCCCACTCACCCAGCACACACACTTTTGGCCCCAATCTCCTCAGGCAGGAGGTTGAGGAGCATTAAGTGTAGAATCACTAGACTGAGGAACAGCTTCTACCCTGAGGCTGTTAGACTCATGAATCTCTAACTAGAATAATCACTGTAAGGAAGAAGAAAAGAAATCACTGTAATGCCACTTTAATTGGTGATATGTCACGTTATCTGTGCTGCTGATTATCTATGCTGCTGATTTCTTGCCTTGAGATGCTGTATTTATACCCATCTGCTCACTACAGACTCATGTTCAGGCTGCTGTTTAATATACCATATTCTTTTACATTATTATTGTTTAGCATATATCTTAGATCCTTATATACTGTTTGTGGACGTTTGACTCAGTGGAAGCTAATGTGCTGCATGAAGCCCTCCAGTGTGAAACTCTGCAGAAGACTTTTGTTTTTTAAGGTGCTGTTTCTTTAAGATTACAAAAGTCAAAGTCAAGAGTGGGTGTGTGGTCTTGTGGTTCAGTCTGTGTCTTTGACAGGAAATTTAATCAAGATAGGGTGATATGAGCTGACAATGGTGTACGCCACAATTTACGTTCTTCAAAAATGAGATAAGTTGCAGAAAGCACTGATGTCTCGGCCTGTCGCAGTGCGTACATGTGCCATATTCCTGACCTCTGATCACACAAAGTATTTTAATCCAATCAGCTTCGTTTTCACATGACTGTCACACACTCTCAGCTGCCATGGCAACCTGCTGGGGAAGGAGGGAAAGTAGTGGAAGGAGAGGAAAGGGCAACTTGTCGCTGCTTTCAAATGAACACATAATTTAAAACTCACCTAGACACTATCTTCATTTTTTAATCTATCTGAAGCTAATAATTTAAACTTCACTTTACAAACTAATAAGGGAGGTGCTGGTGAGACCAGACTACCACAGAGAGCCTGTTTGTTCAGTGATGACTTCCTTTGGAATAACAATTATTCGGGTTTAGAAGTTCAGAGTGTGGGTGGAAACATGAGAAAGTGAGAGGACAGGCAGGCTCGACAGGCCTGCAAAGATGGCACACTGTGAATCACTGTGGCACACAAATCAAAAGGACAAGCACAACTAAAAGGTTCTTGAAAGTGTTTATTTTATTTTATTTTGGAACACGCTTACATAGAATGATGGGTCTGATCACAAGTGAGACAAACCTCACTTCCCTTGAGAGGTGAAAAGGTTAGTTTGTGCCCTGTGGTTGGTTTTTTTTTTTTTTTTTGGCACACTACCCTCTGCTGCTTCTCATTTTTGTTTGACATTTCCTGTTCTATATCAGATTGTTTATCTAACTACAGTGTGCCACAAACCTGCAGTCAGCTTCATGTGTTTCCACATGTTGACACTCTATTCTAAAAATGGCAACCTTGCTTTCCTTTTTTCATTCTTTAGTTTAAGATTTGGAGCAAACAAGAGAAGAGGCCTTTGAGAGAGCGACATTCGAGTCTCATGACTCTGGTCCGAATGGTACAAATGTGGGCAAAGCGCTCCCCCTGCTGGACAGATGAGGTATTACAGGGCTGCGTTTTGATTATTTGATTGTGTTTGACAATAAAATTAAAAACAGTTTTTATCTGAAAACAGTTGTAATACAGCACGTGCTTAAATACCATTATTGTCATATTTTGTCACACATGGGAGCGAAACTAGGACCTTGAGTACACAATTTCGTTCCACCTCATGTACCACATGTGATGCGAATGACAATAAAGAAAATTGAAATCTGAGTAAATTTTTTTAAAATAATTGTTTAGATGACTGTGCGTTTTGAATATTTCTCCAGTTTTATACCTAGCTTTATCTCCTGTTAGCATTGTGCACACTGCATGTATCATTGATTTGAAAAGGGGATGTGAAAAAATTTCAGGCCTAGCATTCCTTGAATTCATGCATATCGCCTGCCACAAAGACAGATCATGTGTAATGAGAAGTTACAGTATGTGTTGTGAATGACTCTCAGCTACAGCCCTGCTGATTTTCAACAGTAAATCTTTATCTGTAAAACCTACTAAAGCCATTTTGGTGTTTTCTAAGATCAGTTGGCTGCGATGAGCATCTTGGATTAGGCTGGCTCCAAAAGTTACTCAGATGTAGATGTAAGTCCATTGATTATATCCTAAAAGTTTAATTAAAAGTCATGCAGGCGTTCATGAAATAGTTTGCTAACACGCCAGAACAAAGGGGAAACTACTGTATAAGGCTGCAGGTAGATATTAACTACTACTGTTAAATATTGACTATAATGGCTACAATAAATAAAATCAGATTAAAGCAGTGTTATACAGGTTGTGCTGTGTTAACATCTATTTAAAGATGAAATTGAACCGTTTGCTCCATCATTTTAAAAGTTGACGAATTCAACCCAACTTTGTCAAAGAAAAGACTGAACGTTTTGCTCTCGCGTTTCAAGAAGTTCTGATAAACATCAGTTCCTGTTCAGGTTCTGTGACAGACAGGAAGCTCGTTTTTTGCAAATGACTTTATTCAAAGACCGAACAGAAAATAAACTGCTGTCCTTTCTTGCTTAGAGAAGAAGAACCAAGAACACCTTAAAAAGCTCAAATCTATGTTGAAGTTACTAAATACATTTTGTTTTGTTAATGCTTTAAAGTGCAGAAAGAAACAGACGACTCAGACATGTTGGGAGAAGGGATGAGATTTGAAACAGTGCTGTTCAGTTACTGGCATCTCTAGTTTGCACAGAGATCTTGGTTTTCCACAAAGGTCACAGGTCACAGAGCAACAAAATCCTTGCAAACCTGATCTGAACAGAAACTTACATTCAAAAACTTTTACAGCGATTTGATGAACTACAGAGCTGTTTGTGAAAGTCAGTGTGGATTATGAAAACGAGAGCTTCGTGCTGACCTGACACAATATGAACCAAAGTTTCAGCTGTTTTGTAACACGCGGGCAGAGTTAAATGGTAAAGGTCGAGGCGGGCTGACAGGAAGACACCAGGAGCCCATCGGTCTGTCAGACTGATCATGTTCACGAGGAGACGATTCGTCTGACACATGGTGGTTAGAGGACGCTTCGCTGCTTCACTTGTGCTGCAGACATCAAAGCAACAACACAAATCAGTGCGCTAGCAAGCCACTTTAGAGAAGCAGGTTGGCTTGCATGAGTCAAACTTGGGTTGAGGTGAAGGTCCTTCAGTAGAACTAAAATAAAATATCTGAGCACAAATTGATGAGTGGAAAAACAACAACACTGAACCTTTAAAAAGTGCTGAAACTAAAGAGTCCTGGGAGCTCTACACCAGTAACTGGGTTTATTAGGGATGCATGATATTGGACTTATGGCCGATATCCGATAAGCTAAAACATATTTGGGCAATAACCGATACCAATATTTTTCCCTAGACCTACTTACCATGACTACATAGCTTTCTCTGCTGTGGAATTAAAATACATTATTCTACATGGTCTTTGTCAGTATGGCCTGCTAACAAATGCAGATGCCAGAAAGGAGACTGAAGATGATGTAACACTTCAACTTGGATTATGTCTTAAGGTCAAATTTTGTCACTAGGTTGTCATACAAAACAGCATAATTTATTTATATATATTTAAAAACAGCCCCTTTTATATCGGCAAGTTATTTTGATAGAATGGCCGATATTTAACTTCAACGCCAATATCGTGCATCCCTAATGTTTATATTAGTTTCAAATGTCACTCGTTCGTGCGGCTGTTTTTGTTGAGAAGCACGATTTATTTCTGCAGATATTCTGTCGGCGCTTCAGGTTTCTGTTTAGTCACAGAAGAAATGCTTAAAGACGAGAAAATGGACTAATCTATGATAAACATGGGCATAAAAGTAATTTAATAATTCACACAACAGCCATCAGTGAGAAGAAAAACTGGAATTGCATTAATTTAAACATAAACATCTAAATAATTAAACTTCCATAAAAAAAATAAAAAAAAGTGATCGTAAGGTCTCTCTTCATCAGACTTTATATAAAGACAGTGAAAGAAGAACTACCGGTAATGATGTTAATATTTCACCAAATCTGCTCCTTAGTTGACTATAATGAGAGAAAAGTCTGTGAATGGTTTCACGACTCACTCTGCACACATGAAGCCGTTATTTTCTCGCAGGAAAAAGCTGATTAAAAAAAGATGCGTCGAGCAAAATGGACGAGTTCCTGCTGCTCTTAATGAATGCTGCAATTCTTACACCTCCTAAAAATCTATGCAGTTACTTTTAGTGTCACCGAGGCTCATAATGTTAGAAGGAAAAAAAGAGAACTACTGAATCAGGCAGGTAAAGTAGCATGTGCAGGCTTCCATACAGTTTCTTTAATCCACTTCAAATGCTTCTCCTCAGCTGTTGCAGAGCTTTTGTTACCGCTACAGAACATTCATGTTTTCCAAAAATATTTTCCCAGTAATTGTATCAGATTGTGCAGCCATCATTAATATGATCCCCTTGTTAAAATACCAACTGTTCCCATGTGACGTGATCTGGATGAAAAATAAAGCCAATTTTTTTTATCTGATTCATATGAAGTGAATCAGTCACTCCTTTGAAAATGCACAAACCAGGAAATTCCCCTCTCTCTACACTTAGACATAAATCACCTTAAAAAAACACATACAGTTACTCATTTCCTCTCCAATCCAGGGCAGCTACTTGAAGCATTACTAAACATTTATTAATAAAATAATATTTTATGAGGTTTATATTCAGATTACACATCCACACATGGACAGGACTACACGAGCGTCTTGATGTCTGTCTGTAAAGTCTGCTTAAGAGCAGGGATCCCGTTTATTTTGCTTCAGCTGAAGGTGATGCATGTTTCCTCGGCCTCTGTAGATATGCACGTGCAGCTCTTCTTCACTACCTCTTTCCTCTTCCTCCGCTTCCCCTCTCAGAGCCACCAGAAGCGCACGTAGACGATAAGCATGATGAAAAACACGCCACCTGCTGCCAGCTTGGCGTAAGTGGAGCGGGTGTTCAGATACTTGGCGTCGCTCCTGTACTTTTTGGACAGGCTGGATAAGTTGCTGGCCTTGGAGTCGAGCGCTGCACGAAGGGGAGAAAGGGAAAAAATGAGGAGGAGGAAAGGATCAAAACTAAAAGGCGATCTTCAAATGACGACCCATCCGTCTGAATGGGAGGTAAAGACTCACCAGACAGAGCCTCCCCCCTCTGCAGAACCTCCTCGATGTTTGCCACCATGATCCTCTGCACGTCCTGGAGCTCCGTGTTGATGCTGCCCAGATTCCTTCGTGCTCTGCTGTCGATGTACAACTTCTTGGTTTTTTGAATGTAGGTGTCTAAGGAGACAGAAAGACACACCAGGGTCAAAGCTATAAGACTACGAGTTGATTTATTTTTAAACAAAGTTTTTATTTGTATTTTGATTTTAATATACAAACAGAAAATAAAAAGAGAACACAAAGAACATATAAACCCCTCCTGCACCGGATCAGGGTACCCCTTCAGGGTATATCTTATTTTGTCCAGGCAGATATGGGACATCACCACTCTTATCCAATGTACGTATGCTGGGGGTGCGTGGGTCCTTCCACTTGTACAAAATTAGCCTCCTGGCCAGAAGAGAGCCAAAAGCAATCACATCCTTCTCACATTTGTTAAAGGATGCATCCCCAGGGACCACCCCGAACAGTGCGATGACTGGTGATGGCTGTATGGTGTTACCACGTATTCCACAGAAGGTGTTGAATATAGATTGCCAAAAAGTCTGCAGATCGAGACATGTCCAGAATGTATGCAGGAGTGAAGCTGGAGTTTGTTTGCAACAATTGCATGCGGGGTCCAGGTCGGCTTTGATCTTGGACAACTTGTCTTTGGACCAGAGGCTTGGAGTTGATTTAATAAAATATGTCAAACAATTTGGTTGTGTAGGCTCGTTAATCTGCGCGTTTGAATTTCTGTAAAGCACATTCAAAAGTTGTCTCAAAAGATGTCACACTCTGGCATTTTATTTTAAAGTAGCTGGTTTTTCCACATGATTTTCTGAGTTAGTCCCAACGAAAATGTGCCAACTAATTTCATATGAGTTATAACATGATAGATGTTAAGCATCACTGCTCCTTATGGTGCCGATTGGCAAAATATTCACTGCTGGTCATGAGCTCAAAAATAAAACAAGTGCTGACCTCAGAGATATTTGCAACCAACCAAACAACACCATAAGTCAGGGGGGTCAAATCCACTTACAAAAGGGGGCCAAAATTAAAACCTTTTTCAAACTAAGGGCCGGTTTCAGAATCTACATTAACTCAAACATCTATTCTTGGTTGCAGGTTCCTCAACAAGAGTGACTGGTCTCGTTTGAAATTCTCTGTTGCACTTTTGAATCATAATCAAAGATTATTGAAACAATTTGTATTTTACATTTAACGTATCATCTTGGGGGCCAGATAAGATGTCAACGAGGGCCACATTTGGCACCTGGGCCTTGCGTTTGACACATATGCCATAAGTGGACTACGGACGATAAAATCTGACCAAGAATGTGGTTTTCTGATAATTAAATGAGCCCGGCTCTATGTCTGGAAAATTCACTAATTTTGTAAGCCTTGATATGAGGATGGAGTCTTAAACAAGAGCCAACAGCGACTACACGAACAACTAAAGTCTTTCTTTTTGTACTGACGTGTGCACAAATTAAATGGAATTATAGTGCATAATCAACTATGCAGTTTTATTTAGTTTTAGTTGTGGGACAAATAAAAATGTCTTAAAAAGTTTTTAAAAAAAACTTAACTTTATTTCTGCACAATTTGTATTTGCAGAATAAATACAAAGTTCTCCTGGGGTTGACAAGCCAACAGCTAACCTTCAGCCACAATGCAGATCAAAAGGAAAGTATTGATGTTTTGTTAGTAAAACCACTGCAGTTACACAGATTCTATATGGGAGTCACCAGATAGCCTATATAATATTTTGTTTGCCTGAATATTTCTGGTCAAGGACTTTCGTTGTCTTCAACAATTGCAATGATCCATTTTGGGCAGTTAAACAATCTGCAATCACTGTCCAGGTTTATTTTGTCACTCAGTGGGACAAGACCTCAGTGAGATACTTCTGCAATGACACATGTTTGTAACTGTATTATAACCACAACATATAGAAACTAAAAACAACCTGATGATGAATAATTGAATTAAAGGTCACATGTCTGAGCAGCTGGACGGGTTATCAAACTATACAACAAAGTGCGAGTCTTCATTTTGTGCTACACACACTTACACTTTACACTACATCTTATTTCTACAAAGCTATTTCTACACTATTGTTTGTCTAGACTTAAATTTAAAAAAAAGTTACGCAATGTAATAGTACTGGCGCTGCAACCAGCTGTGCCTTATTCTTACCAAATTCAATGAAAGAATATGGGCGGGATACAGTGGGGACCTTCTTTCCATGCTGCTCGTGAAACTCCGCCTGCAGGTCCTCAAGGTATGCAAAGGCTAGCTTTTTCGGAAAGCTGGCTTCACACAGCACGAGGTAGCAAACTCCTTTCTCTATGAAATAGCTGCGAGGAGTATAAAAAGTGGGGTCATAATTAAAGCACAAAGCATTCGCTGGGATTGGAAATATTGTTTTATGGAAGGTTTATGCAAAACGCTCTTCAACTCACTGAAACGCCACAGAACCAGCTTCTAAGGTGCAGCGGTTAGGACTCTGCTCGTTGAGTTTCCTGAAGAGCTGCTTGGCTTGAGTCTGATACTGTTGAAGGTCTCGACCCAGCTGGAGAGAAAGCAAAGCAATAAACCGTCATCAAACAACTCACAGCTGAAGTCTGCGTTTAATTATGGCACGGAACTGGCTTTGACAAACGTTGAGTCTCTACTTGCTAAACAAGACGGCTCCAACAACGAGATGCCATTTGTAAAACTTTTAATAAAACGGGTCGGGTAATGGCCAGTTTTGACACATGAAACACATGCGATGAACCACAGAGCAGAGACACGACAAACCTTTTCACTTCCCTTTTTGAGAATGCACAAAAAGAGTGAAGAGAAAGACGTTAGACTCCTGTCGAGGTACGAACAAAAGAAAACAGCTCATTGTGTTACACATACAATCCATTTTAACATCCTATGTCAAGTAAAATGTTCTCTTTGCTTGACTCGGTCAGTTTCCAGACGATCACAGACAGAAACAAGTTTGTCTAAACTTGATCGACAGAAATGCAATTTTTTTTAAATGCATTTAAGGTCAGTCTCAAACCTGGAAAAGAACAAATATTTAAATCCCAAGCATGAAGAGTCAGTCCATTTTTATTGCAACATTTATACGACTACATACAAACTACTTGTAATCGTGTCCTCTTACAGAGCAGCCTTTTGTTTACTTCATAATCCATACGGACTTCTGAAGACTGATATCAATCTTTAAAATGATCAATTAGTGGGTAATCTTCATATAGCTGCAAATAGTAATACTTGGATCATATTTGGAAATAAAAATTAAATGCACTGAGAAAAATTTGGAGCACTTTATAGAATATACAGTAGTTTTCCAGGTTTTCTGAAGCTCTTTCAGGATTTATTTTGGCCTTTTTTCCCCTTTACTTATTTTCAGTCTAGTCTTTGTACCCATCTATTATAGTGTAGTGTGAAGTGCGCTTAAAAATAGGTAAAGTGAAAATGTGCAGGACTGAAAGAGTGTTAGTTTTTTTTTTATTAATTCACGTGAGAGGAATAATATCTGGAACTCACATCTTTAAGGAATAGAAGAAAAGTTGAGACGTATCATTCTTCAGAGGCAAAGATTTCAGCCAGTAGCTATTGGGAAATCATCATTTTGGTGCTTTGACTCTATTTAAAATCTGACAAACTTGTCAGTTTTTGATTATTTTCATACGTTATCCTACAAAACTGAGAACAAATTGTATATTTGTGACAAGCGGTCAGTATATAAGTGTTTAAAGATCCTGTTTGCTCTAAAAAAAAATAGTAATTTGTTGTCTCTCATGAGCTGACGCAACACTAATTTATCCCCTGAATTTAGGAGCCCTCCATGCCTAAATAATTAATAGTTTTCAGTTAGGTTGCTGAACAATAAACATTCCTCAGAGACTGATCAGGTACTGGACTGAAAATAAATGAAAAGCCAAAGTTCAAAGAAAAAAAAAATCTAATTGAAAGACACCTAAAGACCACCTACACTAAAAAGTCTGGCACCTTGGCAGCTATATACAAAAAGAGAAGATGGACTGAATGTTACCTTGGAACTTATTTGTAATCGTATATTAATAAAGATGTAGCAGATAATTACAGGCTGTAAGGAAGTCTTCAGGTTTAAACTGAAACATGGTGTAGATAACAAACAGGCCTTCACTTCACCAAGTCAGAAATAAATATTCAGACAGCAGCTGGTCTGTGTTTTAACCTCTAAAAAACCCACAAACATTTATGAGGAGACGCCTCATAACTATGAGCTGAACAGCTGGGCGTTATTATGGAACATTACAGCTTTACAACACAGAGGCTTTATCTACAGCAGCCAGCGTCCACAGAAATAAGGTTGAGAATGTGAACCTGCTCGTCCTCCTGCATGGAGGCGGCCAGCGGCAGCCCGTCAGCCAGCCGGGCGATCATCGTCAGCAGCACCATCTCTCCCGAACGTCCTGCTGTGTCTCCACGGCCCGAAACACCTGAAACACCTCACAGCTAGCTGCCACCAGCGCTCGTTCGACAAGCTGGAAAAGTGACAACACAACAGGAGCGATGCGCTGAGCTGGCCGGAAGCGCTGAAGATTTGAGTGTAACACTCAAATCCCGCCGTGCGTCAGGAAGCAGGAACCGCAACGCTCAGAATTAAAGTTCCGCTCGATGGATTTTCTCATATAGGGAAACATAACACGGGAAAATGTGACCATTGTGGGGAAGATGAGACCATACAACACGTGCTAATGATCTGCCAAAACTACCATCATGAAAGAAGACAAATGATTCAAAGACTCGATGCAATAAACGTCAGATTTGATCCTGTAGTGCTGTTACAAGCAAATTCAAGTTCTGCAAGTACCAACATCTTGTTGAAATACCTGAAAAGGACTCAGTTGTTTGAGAGAATATGAGCGTTATTTATTCTTATGGATATAAGTTATTTATTTTTTTTATTATTTTTTTTTTGGAGCGACATTCCAGTTGACAAACTAACACAGTAGATGGCGGTAATGCTTCAAAATCTTGAATGCCAACCGCCAAAGAAAAACTAAGAAGAAGAAGAAGAAGAAGAAGAAGAAGAAGGATTTTCTCATGTTTTTGATACCAGGAGACTTTTTGTCCTCCAGTTCCTACAACAACAAAAAAAAAAAGAAAAGACAATAAATGTAAAAAAATAAAATAGTGTAACTATTAAGTTTAAAATAAGTAGCCTATTCTGTATCTTTATATTTTGACAGTAATTATTTTTCATAAATGAATACACAAATAAATGCCACATGGAGTAGCAGACAAACTACAGACGAAAGTGAACTAAAAACAATCATTAAAAAACTAAAGAGTTCTTATACAGCTGGAGCTGATGGGATTTGCAGTAAAATCCTGCATGCAATTTCAAACTCAATTGTTAAACCTCTTGCACATTGCATCAACCTATCTGCACTCCATGGCGTGGTGCCTAAAATGGCAAAAATTATTCCAATTTACAACTCTGGAAATAAAAATGATATTAGTAATTATCACCCTATTTCTGTTCTTCCAACTTTATCTAAGATACTCGAAAGAGTTGTACATAGTAGATTAACTGAATACATTGATAAACAACTGATTCTCCCCGTGACGCAAAATGGAAGAAGTGGGTAAAGATAATGGATGGATAGATGGATGGACAACTGATTCTCTCAAATTCGCAGTATGGTTTCAGGAAAAAGAGTCCTACCAGTTTGGCTATTTTGGACCTTATTGAAAAAATATGTGATACAATTGAACATGGTGATTATGGTGTTGGCATTTTTCTGGACCTCTCTAAGGCTTTCGATACAGTTGATTTTGATATATTATTGGGTAAGCTGCACCATTACGGGATAAGAGGAATGACATACAATTGGTTTAAAAGTTATCTTTTTGGTAGACAACAGTATGTAATTCTAAATCATCAAAAATCCCCAATTTGAGACATCAAACATGGGGTCCCCCAGGTTCAATCTTGGGACCATTACTTTTCATTATATATATTAATGACTTTGTAAATTCTTCCAAAATATTTCATAAGGTCATTTTTGCTGATGATGCCAACTTGTTTTTTTCACATAAAAATTATTCAAAACTGGAGGATATCGTAAATGCAGAACTGAAAAAAAATAAATATCTGGTTCAAGAGTAACAAGTTATCTCTTAATATCAGCAAAACAAATTTTATTCTCTTTAAACCCAATAAACCCAAATTGTTAATTGATCATGTAATTCTCAAAATCCATTCCATTCCATTTTCTTTACCCGCTTATTCCATTTTGGGTCACGGGGGTCGCTGGTGCCCATGTCCAGCAATCACTGTGCGAGGGGCGGGGTACACCCTGGACGGGTCGCAAGTCCATCACAGGGCCACATAGAGACAAACGAGACAAACAACCATTCACTCTCTCACTCACACCTAGGAACAATTTAGAGTTACCAATCAGCCTAACATGCATGTTTTTGGTCTGTGGGAGGAAACCGGAGTACCTGGAGAAAACCCACGCATGCACGGAGAGAACATGCAAACTCCACCCAGAAAGGCCCCTGGACCGGGGTTTGAGCCAAGGACCTGCTCGCTGAGAGGCAGCAGCTCTACCAGTTGCGCCACCGTGCTGCTAATTCTCAAAATCAATTTTTGATAATTCTCAAAATCAAAAATGAGAAATTAATGAGAGTAAGTTCCACAAAATTCCTGGGGGTCCACATAGATGAGTCCTTAAATTTTAAATTGCATATCGAGTGTCTCCTGACTAAGTTGTTCAAATATGTTGGCTTGTTTTTTAAACTACAATATTTGCCTCTATCCACGCTCTTAACAATGTAGAAAACTCTCATTGAGCCACATCTTACATACTGTAATGTTATATGGTACAATACTTACCACAGTTATCTTAAGAAACTTGAAAGTCTTCAAAAAAAGATAAGAGCCGTGTCATGGTCCGAGTATAACGCCCCCACATCCCATCTATTCCATCGTTTTGGTCTTCTTCAGCTAACAGAATTAAATGTGTTTCAAAATGCCTGTTTGATGTTTCAAATTGTAAATAAAACTAATAAAAGATTAACAGAGCTCGTTCCAATCAGTGGTCTACAACATACTTATGAAACCAGGAAAAAACATCTTATCTACACTAAATATAGAAGACTTAGAATAACTAGTCAAACCTTTTCTGGGAGGGGTCCACAGATTTGGAACGAGCTTGATGAGAGTTTGAAAGAGTTGAAATTCATCTCCACCTTCAAAAAACAGTTAAAGACCAAATTGCTCCATTTATATACTTGAGATCACTTGTAGGACCTGTAACCGATTGATCAGAGGTAACAATCTGTATTGTATGTGGAATTTTTATGAGGACTGATGTTTTATTGTGATGTTATTTTAATATGTTATAATTTGTATGCAATATGTACCCAGGCTCCGTCTATAAGCTTTAAAAAGCTTTTTGGAGACCTGATTCACGCACTGTTATTTTGCAGATATGTATTATGATTCTTTTGTGTGTGTGTGTGTGTGTGTGAATAAACTGAATAAACATATGCTTCCCAAACCCAGACTGAGGAACCTTGTTCCACAAGTGAAGAACCTGATTTCTGGACTGCCTCTAGTTTTTACCTACAGCCTGAGTCCAGTTTCTGTTGGAACAAAATAAACAATCATGGATTCTTTAAGATAGCTCTCAAACCTTCCATCTATCCATCCATTATCTTTACCCGCTTCTTCCATTTTGGGTCACGGGGGTCGCTGGTGCCCATGTCCGGCAATCCACTGTGCGAGGGGCGGGGTACACCTTGGATGGGTCGCAAGTCCATCACAGGGACACAGAGACAAACAACCATTCACTCTCTACTCACACCTAGAGACAATTTAGTTACCAATCAACCTAACATGCATGTTTCTGGTCTGTGGGAGGAAACTGGAGTACCCGGAGAAAACCCACATGTGCACAGTGAGAAACTTCACTCAGAAATGTCCCGAGCTGGGATTTGATCCAGCAACCTTCTTGCTGAGCGGCAACAACTCAACAAACAGTGCCACCATGCCACAACCTCAGACTTTAAAATGCTAAATTTTAAGGTCTGAAAATATTTGTGCACCCTGGTAATTTGAAACTACAGTTCAGCTAACAAGCACAACAGAGCATGTCAATATTATTTAGAGGACATGATTTGAGTATTTTAAAACTGCCTTAAAGTAAAATATATGAACTAGTTTACTTTGAGATTATAATGTATTCAATTTGTACAACTCTATAAATTGCTGAATTTATCTAAATATAAACTATTAAAAACAAGTTATTTATATAATGAATTTTTGTATTCACCTATTGAAGAATATACAGACCTGTCAATCAACAATATAATTCTGCAGCCGTGTTTTGAAGAAACGCATATCAATTTACATTATTCCTGCTGTGTGTTACTGTATATAAAAGGCATCCACTGTATACCTCAATGTCAAGCCTGCGCTGGATTGAGCAATTAACAAAAAAAAAAACTTAAAATGACCCAGAATCTTGCAGTTATAGTGGCAGACATGAGTCACAGCTTCTAAAGATAGGTTCACACATTTTGTCCATTTTCCAATTGAGAGGAAAATGTAATTGATTTATTTATACTTTAATGTTTTAGGTTTTACTGGTGTATGTCATGGTGGCGCAACTGGTAGAGCTGCTGCCTCTCAGCGAGCAGGTCCCTGGTTCAAACCCCGGTCCAGGGGCCTTTCTGGGTGGAGTTCGCATGTTCTCTCCGTGTACTCCGCTTTCTTCCCACAGACCAAAAACATGCATGTTAGGCTGATTGGTAACTCTAAATTGTCCCTAGGTGTGAGAGAGCGAATGGTTGGTTGTCTTGTTTGTCTCTATGTGTCCCTGTGATGGACTTGCGACCTGTCCAGGGTGTACCCCGCCCCTCGCACAGTGATTGCTGGACATGGGCACCGGTGACCCCCGTGTCCCAAAATGGAAGAAGAGGGTAAAGATATTGAATGGATGGTGTATGTCATTATGAATAAAGGGTCAACAGACTCCGGTTTTGGCACAACCATACACCGTGAATCTGTTTAAAATTGTCTTTGTGGTAAGCTTTGTTTTTAATTTGTTTGCTCTACAGCTGGGTAATTAGGTCCTTAAATCATTTTGTTTCTGTGCATCTTTATTCATGGACAAGTGGATTCCCATTCCTCATCCTTTTGGTCCCATTTTAAAGGTTTCTTTCTATTAAAATTTTGTGTTAAGAATAGTGATAATCTGAGAATTTAATGCTCAGAAAAAAAAACAAGAAAAACAAGTCAGTTTAGTAACAAATTTATTTGTAACAAATTCTGTTTAGTGTTGAAAATACAGTTAATTTAATTTTATGCTAATCAGAACACCCATAATAAAAAGTTACAAAATAACTGTTTAATGACCCCCACTGATTTTTAATTAACCTTTTTCTTTTCATAAAACAACAAATCAGAGGAATCAATCAAGATTTTTTTAAAGACTAACCAAGCAACAAAATGTAACCATTTTGTATAAATTGCATCAAACTAGACAAGACCGTCTGCCCGATTGAACCAAAAACAGTTTTGACTCTTCCTTTGGGGAAAAAATGGGAGCGATTACCCGGTCTCACCGTAATTTATATGGACCGGGGGTGAGGCCCACACACAGCAGGTGGGCGTGGACTAAAGTTTTCAGTGCTGCGCTGAGCGTCTGGGGATAAACCCACTAGCGACAGTCTTAAAGGGCGAAGCCTACACGAAATAGAACGAACCAACTCGAGGCCTGACCACCCCCTCACCCAGAATGCTACAGTAATAGCATAGCAACCCTAAAATATTAGTAACCCTTCCACAGCTTTGACAATTTCTATGCTAGGGTCGACAAGTTACAATCCCATATCAAACCATGCTGACGATGTCACCACCACCAGGACTGAAGTGCTACCTGAACCAGAAACCCTGGCTGAACGCAGAGGTCCGTACCCCGCTGAAAGCCAGGGATCTGCCTTCACGTCTGCCGATTCACAGGAACTGAGGAGGGCAAGGAAAGAGCTGGCTGCAGGTATTAATAACCAACTTTAACTGGGACCCTGTGTACACAATTTCATTCCATCACATGTACTACATATGATGTGAATGAAAAAGAAACCTTGACCTTAAGAAGGCCAAAGCAACATACACACAGAAGATCCAGCCTCACAGGACCCACAGAGCATGTGGAAGGACATTATGTGCATAACAGACTATAAAAGCAGAGGTGCACAAAGCCCTAATAGGGACCCATTACGGCCTGATGCTCTTAACAGGTTCTATGTCGGCTTTGAAGACCCAAATAGACCACCCAGCACCAGACTCACCTCACCAGAAGAAGACGAGTTCATCAGCATGACCTCAGCAGAAGTAAGGAGGACCTTCATCAGGATTAATCCTCACAAAGTCACTGATCTAGACTACATCCCAGGGAAGGTGCTGAAAGACTGTGCCGATCAGCTCTGCGAGGTGCTGGCCAATATATTTAACTCCTCCCTCACCTTGGCAACTGTTCCCACCTGCCTGAAGACCACCACCATCATCCCTGTTCCTAAGAGCTCTACAGTGACTGGTCTGAATGACCAGTAGCCCTCACAATAGTTGCTAAATGCTTTGAAAAACTAGTCATGACCCACATCAAAGTTACCATCGACATTAGCGAGGACCCTAGATATTATCAGATCGGGCTTGACCACCATAGGGTCCCCAACCTCTCATGTGCAGTCCATTTAAACCTGGAATGTTTCTACGTGCTGTGCAGCTAACCTCAAACTAAACGCAAGAAAAACAATCTGGCGCTGGAAGAAGTGGATACATGTTAAGAAACCACAATGAGTAAATGTCAGTAAAATACAGTAACTCTGGAAAAAACAAAAAATATATGTGTTGTTCATAGGAAAATATCTTCATATAGGGAATGCTCAAGTTTAAATACATTCAAGAATGATCAACAATTGTTAAAATTTTAAATGGTGGATTAATGTTAAAATTTGTCAGAGTTAGTATATTGCTCAAATATTGTTGCCGACCTGTGAGCACTATTGACAAAAAATAGATTTGCCGACAGAACCTCAAGGTTTAAAATTAAGTACAAACAAATTAGCTATGAGAAAAAATTGTGCGAAATTTCTGTGCGATCAGCTCAGCGTGATCATGAGGACATGGCATCAGCGGGAGTCGCGGGGGTCCAAGAGATAAACCTGACAGCTCCGACATCAGCTGCTTGTTCACGCCGACATCAAAACCTGTTGGTGAAAGTAAATCAGTTTTAAAAGTACAAAGATGTAGTTGCAGAAAATTTGATCAGATCCAGTTTTAGTGGAAAACATCCAAATCAAGACTCACCGAGTTTCATGGCGTAACTCAGAAGCTCTTGCATTTTGAACTGCACGCAAAAATAAAAAGAACATCAAACAAATTTGACAGAAACATGACGAAGAGGTCAGGAACATCAAACAACAAAAACGTGCAGTACCTGTATGGTCCTGGCTTGAACAAGGTCACCATTCTCAAATGCAGCTATGAGCTTGTTGACATGACATCCAATATAATTATATGTGCTGCGTGGCAAAAAATTAAAAAGTATAAAAACACTTGAAGAACAAAACGGAAAACAAAACTAATTAAAGACCACTGACCTGCCAACGGCTCCGTGGACTCCCATAGCCAGACCTGCTAACAGTTGCTACGAAACAAAGATTTGTTTATGAGTTTAACTTTGTCACAACTAAAAAATTTAAAAATATATAAAAATAAAAATAAAACCTTTGCCACAGCTATTAGAGTAACAGAACGTCATCAAACAATCGACAGTGATGTAGCAGTTTTTCCTATTTTGATGCGACATCGACAAAATAGTCAAAACAGGTGAAATATAATAAAATAATAAAAAAATGCCTTTACACTAGGCCTGTCACAACAACAAATTTTGCTGGGCCATTAATTGTCTCAGAAATTATTGCGATAAACGATAATAGTTTGAAATTTGACAATAATTAGTAATTAGTGTCAAATTTAAGAAGAAATGTTGGTGAATTTGTTTTGGGTGTAGTATCTTTTTTCGTATCACCAGATGGCAGTATAAGACTGAACTGAATGATGGATAGGGAGGGAGCAAGCAGCGTGTCTAAGAAAAATGGGAGGGAGGCCCTATGACATGACATGGGCTGTCTCTTTGGTTCTCAAAATGACGGACGCTCATTGTGGCTTGAGCTCTTTAGCATAGCATTTTTTACAAAGCTTTTAATTAAAAAACAAAAACAAACCAGTACACAAGTTCTTGGCTTCTTTTTGCAGAGAAAAAACTTTAGATGAAGGCACAGATTTCATCCATGAATTTTGGAGCTTTAACAAGATGGAGGTTTTTCCTGAGGTTGGCTTGTTAGCTTAGCTTCTCAGCTTAGCTGCTTTTAACTGTCCAAAAACGCAATTTTGGACAGTTAAAATAGATTTTGAAGAGAAAAGGAGGAGTCAGTGAAGAGCACCGGAGTTGAGCTTTTTGTCATCCAGTATCTTCAGTAGAAAGAGATACGAAGAAACGATAAAGCTGATAAATGAACATGAGGCTGATAATTTTCATTTATCTTGCGATTAATTGATTTATTGTTTATTGTGACAGGCCTACTTTACACAAGTCATAGAAATATACCCCAAACAACTAATATTTATTACTACAAAATATAAAACAGCATCACATCAAATCTGTTGAGACAAAAATCACAGAACAAGCAAGGAGTGAATTCATTAAAGATAAAAAAAAGGGCAAATGTAATTTTGAAGAAGGTGCAAAGCTCTGCATCAAAGTTTAATGCTAAAGCTGAGAGGTCATGTTTAAAAATGTGCTTTAATGACATCTTCTATTGTCAGTCCATCCATCCTCCACTTGTTCTGAAGTCGAGGGGCAGCAGCTTGAGCAGGGCGGTCCAGACGTCTCTTTCCACAGCCACCTCCTCCAGCTCTTCTGGGAGGATTTTAAGGTGTTTCCAGGCCAACTGAGAGACAGAGTCTCTCCAGCTTGTCCTGGGTCTTCCCCAGGGTCTCCTCCCAGTCGGGAATGCCCAAAGCACCTCCCTAGGGAGTCGTCCAGGGCGCATCCTTAACAGATGCCAGAACCACCTCAACTGGCTCCTCTCGATGTGGAGGAGCAGTGGTTCTACTCCGAGTCTCTCCTGGATAACCATAATGGACCTGCACAGAGTCCGCAATACTGCAGATGCTGCACCAATCCATCCGTCAATCTCTGACCCCATTCTTCATTCACTTGTGAACCAAACCTCAGTATACATGAAATCCACTTGAGGCAGAACCTCACCCTGGACCCACTGAGAGCAATCTCTCTGACTGAGGACCAAGGCCTCAGATTGGAGGTGATGAGTCTCCTCCCAGCTGCTTCACACTTGGCTGTGAACCACTCCAGTGAGAGCTGAAGATCGCAGCACGATGACGCCAACAGGACCACATCATCTGCAAATAGCAGAGATGGAATCCTGAGGCCACAAAGCGGACTTTTCCGTCCATGAAAGTTATGAATCATGTTATGAATGGAACCCCTAGATAAACGAGGGACTACTGTACAAGTGTTTTGAATTGCTCTTTGTCACCTAGAACCAATCTACCATGGGCGATCCTACCAGAGGGAACAACAATTGCCCCAAACATCGTAGCTCCTAGGATCATTCAGGCGCACAAACTCCTCCTTCCACCAAAATAAGGCAATTCTTCTTTTTGCAAGGTAATAAATTATTGTACACTTAGTTATTTTGACCGGTTTATTTTCTTACAACAACAACAAGAAATTCTTTCAAAGTTACGCTAAAACAAAAACCAGGACCATCACTCAACGGATTCAAGCTGAAAAGACATCCAAGAACATCCAGCAGACAACTATTAGTTTGTGTCTTGACCTACTGTTATGCATCATTCTCAGCTGTACTGAATGATAATAATGGGAGTAATACATGCACCACTTATTAGCACATCATAATCATTTTGTAATCATGGCAAAACAAAGCTTGTTTTTCTGTCAGTATCAGCAGAGTTAATCTATGATAACAACATGGTCATCTCATAATCTCTAAAAACAAACAGAACGTTTATGTTATTAATTGTAGGCACAGTCATTCTTGGCTTTTGTAGAGTATCTCTTCATAACACAACTTAAAGCCTCCGACCTTATAAATATGGTAGAAAACTACAAAGTCTGCTAGAATTATTCAAATGTCACTTACGCCAGGAGTTTAAGGAAACCCATTTTTATTAAATTGCTTTGTTAAAACCCAGATCTGAGACTGACTGAAAATCTATAAACTGTTCCAACACTAAGTTGAAAAACAGGCCCTCTAGCTTTAAAGACCTTGAACAGTTCAGTTTTGAGGAATGGGCAAAAATCCTGGAGGTTTCATGGGTTAAACAAACAGACATTAACCAATCAGCTTGAGCTGTAAATACTTATAAATCCTGCAGGTGTGTGAGTCAGGGCAGTGTTTGACAAAGTGGGGGCCGCCAGGGGGCGCTAGGAGAGCCTCAAAAACTGGAGAGAAGAAGATGGAAAAAATAAATAATAATAATAATAATAATAATAATAAAAATAGCACACTAGGGAAATCTGTATGTCATTTCCAGATAAACACACTCGAGAGAGAGGTTAGATTTCTTTTGTTTTGTTCTTCTGGTCAACAGTTCGTTGAAAAGTTGTTTTTTTCCCAGTGGGAATATAATATAGTGTTTAAAACATGTTAGTTAATAACATTTGTATGCTCAGCAGCTGTAATAATTAATAGAATATAGTGAATAAAAGTTAAAACAATCTAAAAGTTGATGTTTCTTTACATATTTTGCAACATTGTTTGTGGGTTTGCGAGGGGGGGCCTCGGCCAGAAGTTAATGCTGTTTGGGGGGGGGGCATGGCATGGAAAAGTTTGGGAACCCCAGAGTTAGGGCACTCTGTGTTTGAAATGATAAAACCAGCTTCAAATCCAATTTCATTCCATTCTGAATGGCAACACCACAGTAAAACACCACAGTAAAACACCACAGTAAAACACCACAGTAAAACACCACAGTAAAACACCACAGTAAAACACCACAGCGTAGTGAATATTTTTTCACAGCATCGTGAGCAGATCTATCGGACAACAAATAAGAGAAGAAAGGAAAAGACTGACCTCGTCCACCCCGTACAAGACGGACCACTCAGGCAGGCAGTAACTGACACACTGACCCAAGTCCATGAGGTCATTCCCAGTGAACTTCACGCCTCTGAAGGAGGGAATGAGCTTCTCAATACCTTCTATCACATCTCTCACTTGCACTAAAAGAAACGAGACAACTCCAGTTTCACATCACAAACTAAAACACATAAAACATGGTCTTTAGTTAAGTTTAGAGATGAATTTAGCTGGAAGTGATGGGACTGCAGAACATAAAAACCACCATCAATGATACTGACCATTAACACCAGTGAGTCCTGGGATTTGATAATAGTAGAAAGGCAGATTTGGAGCCGCTGCAGCGACTTCCTTCATAAATGCTCTCAAAGTCTCTGAAACGAGAGGAGAAAAACTTTTTAACGTTTTCAGGCACGTTCAACAGTAGATATGTGAATAAAATGCTGCAGTGGGTAATGGTCCATCTCCTCCCATATGAGAGAATAAAAATAAAGACTGTCAGATACCTGCATTTCTGGGCTTAAAAAAGAAGGGGGCGATGACTGCTATCCCATCAGCCCCAATTTGTGCTGCATGACGAGCCTGGAGGGGGAACAATTATAACAATCAAATCCAAAAGGGATGGAGAGTTTTTGCATCAGTGGCTCTACAATCAAACGGTTTCAATATTTTAAAAAGCTATAATCAATAAAAACAACAGTAACACTTTATGTAGCATTTTAGCTTTAGTTCACAAGTATTGTAGCACGTTGAGAAACACTTCAGCTTTCACAAATGACATTTCTTTACTTTCAGAAAGAGACAAACAAAAAATATATTTTATCAACATTAATGCACCATTAAAAAAAAGATACGGGAAAAAATAGATAGACTTTTATGTTTAATACAAATAAATTCACCTTCTTGCACTTTAAAACAATTCTTTATTTTAAAATTCATTTGTGGGCTTTATACTCAAAGAGTCTATTTTTTTTACTCCAATATTATAATAAAACTTACTAAAAACTCACAAACATTTAAGTATTTTAGTATTACTTATTTATGTATTAGAACATACAATGCAATCGCATTAGATACTATGCCAAATTTCAGGTTAAGGTGCAAATAATAGTGGAAAACGATAATTTGCTAATCTTCTTTGCATTTAAAAATATATGTTTAATTACTAATATACTGTAGATGAATAAAAAAAAAGTGTTTTTATTTTTGCATTCAGATTGTTTTCTATAGCTATTTTAAAGACTTATTTCCAACATAACTTTAAGCTTTGGGGCATTTTGATAAACTGTGGGGATTTTTTTTTAAAGTGACAGTAACTATGTGAACAATTACAGATCAACGATTCTATTTTCTAAAGAAATTGTCACTTGTAATCTACAAACAACAAACAGGGATGTCGTTGTGTTAACTGTGATTCAGTGTTGGAGGATTGTTTTCGTGTCAGTGGAAAAGCAGACCCACCGTTTCTACCAGGCTGAATACTTAGAGCTCACAGCTTTTAGCAACAGCTTTTCTGTAGAAAAGCTTCTTCCAACTCAGACAGGTAGCTAAACTCAAGCCAGTGTTGTCCAGATCCGACCTTGAGAAACTAGTCCACGCCTTTGTCACGACCCGATTGGACTATTGCAACGCACTGTATGCTGGGATCAGCCAGGCCTCCATCTCACGCCTTCAGCTTGTCCAGAATGCTGCTGCTCGGCTTTTAACCAGAACTCGTAGGTCTGAACATATTACTCCAGCAGTTCTGTCGTCCCTTCACTGGCTCCCTGTTCCTACGAGGATAGTTTTTAAAATTTTTCTGTTGACCTTCAAATGCCTGAATGGCCTCGAACCCCTTTACCTCTCTGAGCTTCTGGAACCTTACGTTCCCTCTCGGGACCTGAGATCATCCGATCAGCTGCCTTTGGCTGTTCCAAAAACAAGACTGAAGCTCAGAAGGGATCGGGCTTTTTCAGTCATGAGCCCCAAACTCTGGAACAACCTGCCCCCCCAACATCAGGCAGGCCACCTCCCTTCCTCACTTCAAATCCCTGCTAAAAACACATCTGTTCTCTCAGGCATTTCATACAGTGTAAATTGATCTAGTGTTTTTTAATCTGTGACCTTATGTTTTAAATGCTTTTTATTAATTCTTCAGTTATTTTCATTATTAGTGTATTGTATATATATATATATATATATGTTTATATATTTTTCTCTTTAATTTACTCAATGATTGTTGTTGTTCTTAAGCACTTTGATAACAGGTTCTGTTTTAAATGTGCTCTATAAATAAAGTTGACTTGACTTGACTAACAGTAATATGTGTATAAAACACTCCCCCCCCACCCCCCCATGAGTGAAGGGAGAAGTGAAGTCAAGCCTGTCATTACATTACGTAAATCAGTCGCACAGAAAAAAATCACACTCACCAGCTCCTGGGAGTCTTTAACACTCATGCATCCAACATGTACAATCACTTGGTTCATTCTGTTGAGACACATAAAAATAAAAAATAAACATTTTAGAGTCAAAATTTGTTTGGGAACACATCTAATCAAAAATACTGACCTGCCCTTAGCTTTCTCACACCACTTCTCTGCCAGGACCTTCCTTTCTGCTACAGTGAGAGACATGCTCTCCCCTGTGGTGCCATTCACTGTAATAAATAAATAAATAAACAAACAAACATATCACTTGACATTTGTTTAGAACATAGAACATGACTGAAATATAAGATACAAAAAAAGACAACTGAAAATCATTTTGGCCTAATTAAAAACAAGTCATTCTTATTGAAATGCATATTGTGTAAATTATTTAAATTTTAATTATTGAGCCTGTTAAAATGCAAGTTTTCCATATGCACAATAAACGGACACAATTTCATCAAGCTGAACATGAATACACTGGTAGAGTTTAAACTTTTTTTTTTTTTTTAACCATAACCGAGTTTCAGTGTTGGAGCAGTCTGAATATTTGGAGAACGACTTCAGGAGTCCTTCAGACTGTATGCAATGCATTTAATGCAACGTGCGCACGTAATAAAATCCATCCTGATAATAGCATGCACCTAGATAGCACATAGTTTACCAAAAACTAAATAATTGTGACTTCCAGACGTAATTTTCATATTGTAATTGAGGGAATAAAACGAGGACCGCGATTCATTTTCTGTATTTAATTTTTTTTTTTTTTTTTTTTGGCATTTCCTTTTGCACACAACTTTCCAAGTTTCTTCCAGGTCTCTCTTGTAAACGAGTCCCCGAGGCTCAATGGGATTAACCTGTATAAATAAAGGTTGAATGAAGAAGTGAAGACAATTCTCTGTTGCCTCATGCAAAATACCAAAATACAGTATATTCTAATTTTTTCTTCTTCTTTCAGCTGTTCTCTTCTTCAGGGGTCACCACAGTGAATAACTCACACCAAGACTGGTGGTGGGTTCTGGGCTTGAGTTCTGTTTATTGCATTTTTGATTCAATGCAATAAAATAAATAAATTTAAAGAGGTACGCAGATCACTGTAAACTCTGATTTATTTACATAATTATTTTAATCGCTGGATGTCCGGCCCCCCGAGCTGCTGGCTTTCAGAAACTGTGGCCCCCTGAGCAGTTTAGTTGAATAGTCCTGCCCTATTTTCCACCACCACTCCTATATTCTAATAAATTACGTATTAAAATATTTTTGCACGGTAATGCAATTTTTCTTTCTTGAGTCAATGCACATTTGAAATGATCAGCCATTTATTTAACAGCTGGAAAAAAGGACAGAACCAACATGATATTTAAGATAACACCAGGACAGAACAATGTTTGTTCTGTGTTTTTTTGTTCTCCGGATAAAGGAAATAAAATTGAGCAAAGTCAGCAGGATGTCTGGAGCAGATGACAAAGTCAACATGTAAGAACTTGCTTACTAAAGTTTTTAGCTTCTGACTCACAAAAAAAAAACTGTCAAAGACTTGCAATCTCGACAAATACACTACTAATAAACTACTAACACATTACGCTAATTTATAAATTTATTACAAATAAATTAATCACTTGTAGCAATTATGGTAAAAACGTGCAAGCAATTTTAAATTTGATTAATTCCTTACTTGGTGGTTCCAACCTCCAGTAAAATGGATCATGTTAATCACACACTTGCTCGCTTTTGTGACAATATTTTAGTCATTTTATTTGGAAATTTATGAACAACTTTTATAAAATGTTTTAAGAAATGGAGAGTTAACAAAAGACAAACAAAATACTAAACTATGCCTATGAAACAACATGTAAAATAAGAGATAATCAAGGTGTGAACATAAAAACAAACTATTAGAATTCCAGTCAAACTTACCAAATATGCCCTTTACACCTTGCTGCTCGGACAGGTAGTCAATGTAAGGTCCAATAACTGATAAGTTGATTTCACTGTTGGGGTTAAAATGATAAACAGATCTCACTCATTTGACTAAAGAGCAAAGGAACAATCATGATTCAGATTATAATTACAGATGTGAACACATCATACCCATTGATCACAGGAGACTGACTGCGTTCACACTTAGATCAAATAATGAAAAATAAATAAACACAAACAGGAAAAAAGATAAAATAGATTACAAACAGATTCTTACCCCTGGGAAGTGAATGGAGTAAATGTAGCTGCTACAAGTCCCGTCAGCTTTTTCTCAGCAACTGGATCCATGATGGACTAAACTTCTTAACACAAGAAAATAAAAACGGTAAATGGACTGTACTTATATAGAACCTTTTTATCTTATCAAGATACTTGAAGTGCTTTACACTACAATCTGTACCCTCATTTACCCATTCAGCACTCTACTAGAGCTTTACCAATATTACTGTAATCAGTGCTTTAGATCAGGGGTTCTCAGACTTTTTGGGTTCAGGGACCCCTTACAGGGGAGATAAAGTTTCAGGGACCCCCTCATAACTCTCATGTTTATTAAATAATTTTCTTCAGTTTGTCTCTTTAATGCAGTGGAAATATTTGTGTAGCATAAATACTCAAGACCTGTTCTTTAATAGTGTTAATACAATTTTTGTACTTTTAAATATGGCATATTTTTTATTCGAGACACAATTAACAAAATATATAACTTCAACTTCCAAACATTACAGTTTTGAGTAAATTAACAGCATCAAAAACCACTTTAAAAACTTTTACCTATTCACTTAATGAACATAAATGTATTGACACTTCTTCAAATTATTACAGAAAACTCTTTACATAAAACTGAACAGAATCACAACAGCAGTAGTCAGACCAAGTAACAGGGATTCATTTGTAAACAGATCGACGCCGGAACACAAACAGCAGGTGGGTCGGGTGGTGCGTGGGTTTGGGGGTCCTTCCCCAGAAAATTTTGAATAAAGTAGATGTGATTTCCTGCATTTTGGTGTATTTTAACGGGTTCTTAATCTCAAGTCCAGTCAAATTTATTTGTATAGCACATTTAAAACAGGAACTATTACCAAAGCGCAATCTACCTGCTTGTAAATATATATATATATTTATATATTATTTTATTTGTGTTTTACCATACTACTTACAGGTGCTTTTAATGCTTAACACAATAAGTTTGTTTACAACTAAAACTGAAAAAAATAAAAATAAAAATAAAAACCTTGGGGGGGCGCCGGCCGGCGGGCCCCCTGGGGTCCAGGGACCCCAAGTTTGGGCGCCACTGCGTTTAGATCACAAGTCAACTGGAGGAGGACTACTCTTCTCAGCTGCCCCAGATAAAGACGAAATAGAAACAAATGAAATTATAGTGTTGCGGTAAAATTGTTAGTAATTGCAGAAACATTGTTTTTTTTTTACAGGTAAACACAAACAGCAGCCCCACCTGATGGCTGTCGTCGAGCGCACAGAACGCTGACAGCTATGTTATTATTAATAGTTCGCGCTTTTATAAGTTTGTATCGCAAAACATGAGTCGCACAAATAGTATTATAAAACCTCTTTTAGTGAACATGTTGTTAAGAGTGTGAGAGCGAAAGAATGCAGAGAAGCACATCGTTAGCTAGCTAATAATAATAATAATGGTTAGTCTGACACAAAACGCGGTGGGAAATCCTACTAGTTTTCTGACTTGCAACTGGAACACGACAGTACTGTCACGTCATTCCAAGGTCCGACTTATTACACACGAAACAGCACAAATCCTTGACTTCAACGAGCAGGAAGACGGACGAACATCCCCGATGAATCTCCGAACTTCGAGCTGAGTCTGTGGTTCTAAATAAATACATGTTGCAAAAGGGCCAAGAGAAGTACGCATGCGCAACAGCGCAAGTTCCCCAGCGTCTAAAAATCCGTCTTTATTTCTTAAGTGTTTCAATGTGCGTTGAACTCAACTAAAACACTTGAATAGATTATCTTTTTGATATTTTAAAATAAATCGTACATGCTGAACTGTAGGCATCGAAATGTAATAATAATAATAATTAAAAAACCCGCTTAATAAAACAGCAAGAACAAAGAAATACAGGATACTTATTCAGAAATCTAATTATGAAAAAGGCTATGAAAGGTTATAAGATCCGTCGAAAGTTCTGCTGTGTGTTCGGGACATAACATTTTATTTTGTGTGTGAAGAAGATGTTTGTCAAACACTGCATTCACAGCCCATCATGTGAAACCGTCAAACGTCAGCGTGATACCGCAAAGCTCCACGGGAAATGTAGTTAAATGTTTGAAAATCACATACATTGCATTATACAAACACGGTTTCTTAGGATATGAATTAATTAACATGTTAATTCTACAAAACATTAACACTGCCTTGAATTGTTTTTAGGGTGAGGTGTTATAAAGCTAAAAATAAACATTTAAAAAACAATTTATCTTGCTACTGACCTTTCCTTCCGACTACGGTGACATGACAAGCATTGAAAAAAAAAAAAAGAATGATAATGATAAATGAAAAAGAAAAGAATGATAATGACAAATGAAAAAGAAAAAAATGATACATGATAATGAAAATTTTAAATAAAAAAATAATGATTTTTTTTTTGAGAGACATAAGTTGATGGCTTTTATTTCCTTGACTCGAACTTTCGAGTACAACTCCCCTTTAGTCTGTAACTTTGTGTAAACAATGGTAAACAGTGTAACCCTATGAAGTAATAAAAAACTGTGGTGCCACCTGTTACACTACTTACAAATGTTTTTAACGCTCAACACAATAGATATATTTAAAACCCATGTAACCCGTAGGTCCAATAAATATCACATCATTCACTAGAGTCAAAATAGACAATTTATTAGTGGATAAATGTGGCACTTTAATTCCCAATTGTTACAACCAGTGCTGCTCATATGTTCCACAAGCCTACAAGTCAAAGGAGAAGCTGACAAAACTAAGTGGAAAAGGCCACAAACTTTAGGTTCCCAAACCACTACACATGAGAATGAGTCAGGATTCCTGAATGTAAAGCTTGTGGCTATAAGCTACATCTGGTGTCACATAGGTGGGTGGCTAAATAAGGACAAACAAAACAAAAATAAAGTAGTTAGTCCGCCCTGACAAGACACACTCCCAGATCTTCTGGTCTACAGGCCATGCAAGGCCCGGCCAGGCAGACCACCAAAAACAATTCAATAATCTCAACTCAAAAAGGACAGCAGGAAACAGTACATCTGAAACTATAAAGACATCAAAATCCAATTAATTACTTGACAGTTCCATATACAATTAATTTTAATAGTCATTAAAATACATTTATATAAAAAACAAACTATACCTGGCACGTTGTCACACCCACATGCAGCTGGATGTAGAAAACACCTTAAACCCTTGTGTGACCACACTGCAACATCCAAACAACACATTAGGAGAGATACCTGCATTGAGGTTTTAAAACCACCAGATCATGATAAATATGTGATTTCTTACCACACACCCCAACAACAGATCATCAGAGGTCTCTGACAAACATTTCTGAAAGAACACACCTACTCTCATCTGCTCGCCTCTCAGTCAGTGAAGTGGAGCACCAACAGGTGACACTGGTTGCTGGAGAAGATTCTCAGTCATCCAGGACGTGATAACTTCAAAAAACGTTCAATACAAAAACAACTTTTGTATTGAACGTTTTTTGAATGTGCCACTGGTTACATTCAGATCGAAAAAAAAAAAAAAGAATTGCCTGAGAGTCTAAACTCAGGGTAAATTGCTCACGTCACAGTCAGGAAGCGGAAGTTGTCGACGTTTACATCTAGCGTATCCGGTTCGTGAAGGCTGCTCTCTCGGTGTGACGATAATAGACTGGGGCTGTAAAGATTTCATACCTCAAAATGACAGAAGAGGCAGAGGGATTAGCTTCGCTCTTCAACAATGGAGACTCTTGATTTTAATGTATTTTGTATTTCGGAGCAATGCTTTGTCATTACTCCAGCTAAATTTAGCATAGCTGGCTAAACCGTCACAACCGATCGGTCGCTGTCTTACTGACGAAAGAAGAAAACTGCCAAGCGGAGGAAATAATTAACTTGTTTCTACAAAACGGCGTCCGGAGTGCCAATGGGAGCTTTTAAGGAAATTATCTTTAAAGGGACGTTGTCTTGATTTTGGTTTAAGTTGTTCAAGAGAGTGTTTTATCGTAAGTAACGATGACGAGAGAAGTGACGGATTCTTAATGATTAATTTTTGTTCCGCTGGCCTGAGACTTCTACTGTTTACCGATCCGTAAAAAGGCACCTTAAAACGAGATTGTTTTTTCTTTTTACATGTTAGGATTTCTTTATCAGAGGCGTTTCCCTCCCTCTGAAGGTAGTGGAGGTAACTAAGACCGGTGTTTTGCTGTCAACGTGTCTCGTGGGTTCAGGTGACAGCTGGAAAGGTAAAAAAAAAAAAAAAAAAGGAGCTAACACCGACCTGCTAACAGGACGTGGAACAGAGTTTACTACTTTTTCTTGGCACATCTCTAGTAGATATTCCCGGATATCTTCTTACTTGAAACAACAACATTCTTGCCTACCTTGAGTTTCCACTTGTAAATTGTTTGTGTGCTCACTCAGGCCATCTGTCCTGTTTCAGTTCAACACATAGCTGAGCAGCAAGTTAGGGTAGAAGATATTATCTGTTATCTTGTAGTCAGAGACACAGGAACTTTTAGGCATGATCTCATTTAATATATATCACTTGGAAGATGTTCGTGTGCTTTTGTTCGGTTAGGGCAGTAATTATGGCTAAACATTTACACAGCTGAATTGTAGTTACATGCTCACATCATCTCCTCACCACGCCACAATGTCGCCTGTCTTGTTCTTACTGATGCTGTTTGGAGCAATATGCAGCTTTGGAAAGCCTATGACACGAGAGGAGAAGCAAAAGTTAAGGTACGTTAAAGACAGAACACTTTGAGAGTAAACACAAAGGAGCATTTTAATTTTTTTTATTTTTGGAAGGATATTAATCACCTTAATTTATATTTGTGTTCTTTCATCGAAGGAACCAAGTGGTTGAAATGTTTGACCATGCATATCAGAATTATATGGTGAGTTTTCCATCTTTACACAATCATATTACAAGCCTACGAAGCTGCAGAACTAGTATTTGTATCTGAGAAGACTAAAATATGTGTTCCTGCTTGTGTTATTTATGAGTAGCGTAGCTTCACTTTCCCAGATATTTCTCTTGTGAATAATGAATTATGCAGCCATGAAACTTTGTTGTTCTTCTCAGTCTTTAATACAACAGTGGTGTCTAAAGTGTGTTTGTGTTTATTCCAGGACCATGCATATCCAGCAGATGAGCTGATGCCTCTAACTTGCAGAGGACGAGTACGTGGGCTCGAACCCAGTCGGGGAGATGTGGATGATGCACTCGGCAAGTAAGTAGCAAAACACATAGACCTTACAAGACGTCTTGAGTTTTATTTGGAAATTATGAGACGAACGTCGTCACACACGGTCTTATTGTTTGCTCATGCACGTCAAAGAGTAAACAGCTAATTTAAGATGCTGAAAGCCACAATTTAAATTATATTGTTGAGACATTTCCCTGGAATGAAAAGGTAGCTTCATATATTAAATAGAAGCCGTAGATTAAAAGTACTTTACATAATAAAGATGAGCAATTTAAAGGTGACATTGATGTTGTGCCAGAGGAATAAAACAGTATTATTATTACTAACTTTTATTAACTTTTTTATTATGTAGTAATAAGTTGAAATTGTCCTAAAGGCAACAAAGAAAACGAGAGCACAAGTTAAAGCAAAAGTACAAAGACAGGAAAACAAACGTTTGCTTGTAAATTTGAATGTTGCGTCTTATTTCAACGAATCAAGAAGTTGCAGTCTGATGTAGCATTGAGTTGGATTAATGATCTAAAAACTTCATTTAGTTTATGTTTATAAGGCAGATCAGACTTGTGCTTTCACTCAAGACTACTGAGTGCTTTATAAACCCACGTTCCCTGTATATATCAAAAAACACATTGATCCAGCCAGTCCTCTTTTTTTTATTTATTTTTTTATTGGAAACTTCTGCAACAGTGCTCTGAATGAGTGTTTGTTTGTTTTTGGTGGGGAAAAGTCTGCCAATAGATATTTAGAATAGTTCATTAATTCTGATTGGTTAACTTGGTGCAATACCTTCTTTTGTTCTTTTTCATGTAAATAATTTATAATCTCAGTGTCAACTTTGACGTTTTTAATGCTGTTCTGTATGGATTCAGGCTAAGATTGAACTTTTACTGGTTTTATTTTTATTAAATCTCAACAAGTTGTGTGAAATAAATCAGTAAAACATGTTGCTGTCTGTTGACTCTCGCTGCCAGGTTTTCTCTGACCCTCATAGACACTTTGGATACTTTGGTGGTGAGTACTGATGTATTGCTGAGTTTTTGTTTGTTTTTTGCCTCTTCTTACTGGAAGAAAGTAACAAATAGGTGTAGTTTAAAAGTATCAATTGAATATATGAATATCTATGAAGCCTGTGATGAAGCTCTTAAAGGAGCACTTTCAGATCGTTACTTCTGTTTTTTTCTTTGCTCTTAAAACATGACCGTGTTTATTACTGAGCCTTCTTCGTGCTGTTTCTCCCTTCCAGCTTTTAAATAAGACAACAGAGTTTGAGGCTGCGGTGAGGAGAGTCCTGTCAGATGTACGGCTGGACAATGACATTGTGGTGTCAGTCTTTGAAACTAACATTCGAGTCCTCGGGTGAGACTGGGTTGTACTGTCGACAGTTAGTACAATTATGAGTGAAAAAGCTCTACAGTAGTACTTTTTTAATGTATTTGTAAGTGATGCAAAACGATTGAAGTCCAAAAGCATAATATACAGTATATAAATTTGTCTTGTGTGTATGTTCAGGGGTCTGCTGGGGGGTCATTCCATGGCTGTGATGCTGAAGGAGGGCGAGCAGCACATGCAGTGGTATCAGGATGAGCTCCTGCATATGGCCAAAGACCTGGGACTCCGACTGCTACCAGCCTTCAACACCAGCAGCGGCCTGCCTTATCCCAGGGTGAGACACACACACACATTGACGTGAAACCATAATGCGTCCATTTTTTCATGATTTTGTGTGTTTGAATACAGAGGACAGCTGGTGTGTAAGGCATAAAAAAGATTGTAGGCTTGTATTTCCTCTCATAGTTGTTGCAGCATCTCTTTAGTACGAAGGATCGTCAAACACAGATTCGTCAGCTTGTTAAAATGTTCCGTCTTTAACGTTCTGCAGGAGACGTTTTTTTTTAAGCATAGACTTGCTTTTGTATACGATTGAAAAAGTGTCGGATCGAAACTGCATATTTTTTGTTTTCTGCCTCGCCGCTCTGCTCCCGGCTGTTTAAAGCTTCTGTTTGAAGAGGCTTGCAAACCAAACGCGGCTCTCAAAACAGGTGTTTATTTTTCCTTTTCCCTCTGCTTTCAAGGTGAACTTGAAACACGGTGTCAGGGGTCCTGAGACACGAACGGGCACAGAAACGGACACTTGCACCGCGTGTGCAGGAACCATGATTCTGGAGTTTGCTGCCTTAAGTCGATTCACCGGGGACCCTGTGTTTGAGGTATTCTCTAATCTGATGCACTTACATTTGCAATAATATAAGTGTTGTACACAATTTGATTAAATTATTCCATAAAATAGAGCTACTGCATCTATAATGAAGAAAAACTTTTTTTTTCTAGATTTCTTAAAGGAACTGTGATAAACCACCAAACTAAGTTAAACTTTAGAGTTTATCTAATTATGTTTGTGACAAATTCACTTGATCTTTAAAACTCGATCGTGATTAGTTAAAGTCTGCACATATTTGCCCAGGCAGTACCAAAGAGCCACACCCTGAAAGTGACTCGGGTTTCTTTGGGTCAGGTTTGCAGTTTCTTGTTTTTGAAATCGCTTCATTGTGAATGGAGATATGAAAACTGCATGTGTCTTCTAAATGTGTCCTCGGTGACATCTGTGTCAGTCTTCCACAGTTTGTAAAATTTTCTCAACACTACTCACACAGCTTACTAATAATCTGATTAGAAGGGAAAAAGAAACAACTTGATTTACAAACTTACCATTAGCATTCACATAACAAAAATGCCACTCATCGTTCCTCAAGTTGCAGCATGAATTATAATTTGGAAATCTTTAGGACTGCAACAACGAATCGATAAAATCGATAAAAATCGATGATTAAAAGCGTTGGCAATGAATTTCATTATCGATTCGTTGTGTCGCGTGATTATGCGTCTTTCACGGCGCTGCAGAGCCATTTTGTTCACCTGCAGTTCATTGTCAATGTTGACTGACTGAATAAAGTTTGAAAAAAAAACTCTGCAGCACGAGTTGAACAGAGCGAGGTGGAAACAGAGCAGAGTGTTTTCAAAGGAAATTAAGTAAATTTTACAAATGACCAACGCAGCGAAAACTGTTCGACCCAAGTCCTTCAAAGTGTGGGAGAACTTCACAAAGATAAAAAATGAGAAGCATGCCGCTTTGAAAATTGCCGACAAGAGACAACCACGGAGATAAAAGTAAACATGTCTGAGTCACGAGGAGGAGGAAGGAGCTAAACAGCTGATACAACTCGTCTCACTCCCAGCTCGTGTTGCAGGTGAGTCTCCACAATTTAACACATTGTTCTGTTTCCAAGTGAGAAAACGTAACGTCAGTCTCTGTAGATGAAGTTGTTTGTTTGTTTGTTTATCTGATTAATGACGGTGATAGAGAACGTGTGTTACTTTTTATTTAAATTAATTGGTACAAGCAGTGTTTAAATGTGATTTATAAATAAATCTAACACAAAGATAATAATTTAATGATTAAGCTTCAACTTTTAATTTGCTGGCAAAGTCTGAAGACACTGCAAGTATGGCAGGATGAATTGCATTTAAACAGGAATTAAAGTAATTTATTACATCTACTCAAATGTGTGTAATTAAGTATTTTATATGTGTGTGTGTGTGTGTGTGTGTTTAATTGCTCTTTGAGCTACTTTTGCCTGAACCTAACACTGTAGGTGAAACAAGGCATTTCTTGAGTTGCTGTAAATTATGTTATAATACATATTTACTTTCTCATTCCAGAAAACAACAACAAACAACAACATCCTTCATGATGGACAGACATCATGGACACCACAGCAGCAGCTGTCTTCACTGAAATCATCCTTAAATGATCGTCACTGACATGAGGCCTCTGTCGATGGTTGAAGACGAAGGCTTCACTACAATAATCCACATTTTTAATCCAGGTTACAGTAATCCACACTTTTAATCCAGGTTACAATATTCCACACTTTTAATCCAGGTTACAATAATCCACACTTTTAATCCAGGTTACACTCTTCCCTCAAGGACACATTTTACAAAGTAGCTACATATGAGGGCAGCCGGCTTGGGACCCAAAAGTCCCAGGTTCGATCCCCAGTCACTGCACATCACGTGGCGTCTCTGGGCAGCACGCCTCATCCCCAAAATGCCCCCCGGGCGCTTTCAATAGCTGCCCACTGCACCACCTGGTGGTGGATGGGTTAAATGCAGAGAATAATTTCGCCATTGTATGGAAACATGCAGTGCTGACATTGTGATGACATTATTATTATTATTATTATTATTGTTATTATTATTATTATTATATTGTGCAGGTATAAAGATACATTTGTATATATTTGTGTACATTTATTTTTTTAAGCTATTTGAATAACTTTTATTTTTTATTATTCAATATTTTACTAACAGAATAGTCAAATAGCAAACTGTTTTTTGTACGAATTGCTATGTCAGTCAAATGTTCAATTTTGGAATAAAGGGGTGGAAATTAAAACATTTTTTTTTGTTGATCCATCGATTAATCGGACAAAAAGAGAAAAAAAATTGACCGATGAATCGATTATTGAAATAATCGTTAGTTGCAGCCCTAGAAATCTTCCATAGCCAATCCACCACTTTCATAATGACAGACATGACCAGGGGTGCACATAACGTTTTTAGTGGGCTCCTCAGGTGAGTCCACATGCAGCTTTGTCTTAATAAGTGCCACCTTCCTCACTGTCTTCCTCAGTGTCACTCCCACTATCCTCTGCTTCAGCTTTTTGCATGGTAGATGATGCAGATGCTGCAGATATACTTCCTTGGTATTTTTTCTCTTTCATTATTTTGTAAAAAAAAAAAAAAAACATTTTGTGAAATGTAGTTATGATACCCTTCACAAGTTTGTATTTGTATCTTGTTGCATTGTTCTGTTTTGTGTTGTTAATATAGTTTTAGAAAAAAAAAACTGATGGGCTGTATATGTGTGCTGGTAAGGGGCTTTTATAGGCCTGTCACAATAAACCATAAATCAATTAATCACATGATAAATGAAAATTATCAACCTCATTTTCATTTATCGGATTTATCGTTTCTTTGTCTCTTTCTACTGAAGACACTGGATGACGAAAAGTTCAACTCTGGTTCTCTTCACTGACCCCTACCTTTCCTCTCTCCTCTTAAAATACATTTAAACTGTCTTAAAATCGTGTTTTTGTATCGTTAAAAGTTGTTTTTCTCTGTAAAAAGAAGCTGAGAACTAGTTTGCTGATTTTTTTTTATTAAAAGCTTTGTATGATAAATGCTATGCTAAAGAGTTCAAACCACACCGAGCATCCGCCATTTTGAGAATCGAAGAGAAACAGCCCATGTCAAGTCAAGGGGCCTCCCTCCCATTTTTCTTAAAGTGACACGCTGCTCGCTCCCTCACTATCCATCCTTCAGTTCTAACAGTCTTATACTGCCATCCGGTGGTCGAAAAAAGGTTCTACACGCAAAACAAATTAAATATTTCTCTTTAAATTTAACAATAATGACTAATTATTGTCAAATTTCAAACAATATTATCGTTTATCGCAATAATTTCCGAGTAAATTACGGTAATCGCCCAGCAAAATTTTGTTATCGTGACAGGCCATGGCGTTTACCTTCGGGACAAATTGAGGTCGTCGATTGGTCAGTTTCGGACACATCTACTGGATTGATTGACAGGTTGGGTTGACTCGTTCCAAAAAAAAAAAACCTCTGCCGCCGCCCGCCGATGACCCTGGGTGTAGGCGGGGCGGCCCAGGTGCAGTGGTATCGGTATTCCGAGTTTTAATGCTGATAATAAAAATTTCTTTAAAAAAACAGCCCACACATCAGACCGGCCCACCTGGAAATTTCCAGATCCTCCTGATAACTTGACGGCCAAGTCCGCAAATGCATTTGGTAACACAGGTGATGCTACGCATTCCTGATTTTTGTTGCGCATGCGTACCTGCGTACCAGTTATGTGCACCCCCTGCACATGACGTTGCTTGCTGTTAAAATTTGTCTTTATGGCTGTCATCTTCAGTTAAAGCCTTTTTTAAAAATCTTTATTTACTTATATTTTTAGCCCACTTTTATATTTTAAGACTTTTCTGGCATTAATCAAGCTTTCTGTTAAAGTGACCACAATTTGGTGTGAATGCATTGAATTTGTGTGGCCTTGCTGTGCTTGAATGAGATGCTTCCATGTGTTTAATCTCACAGTTCAAAGATATTTTATCAGGTTGTCTGTTTTTCCTCCTGTGATGACTTAACAAAGAACAAAATAACTTATAAGATTGATAAAATATCTCATTTGTTCTGGATTTAAAAAAATAGGTCAAACAATCTAATATTACTACATTTAAATTCAGGGATAAATGAATTCTCATTCAAAATGTATTTAATAAACTTTGATTCACAGCAACTTTGAACTGAGGAACAAGTGGGAGACTCTGGCACCCGCATCAAGCACTACATTCATTTATAGACGGCTGGAACAGGTCCCAAATGCAGAATGCTATTTTAATGGTGGAATGGAGTTAGAGGAGAAAATGTTTTTTTCTTCGAAGTGATGAGTTTATTTTATTCTAGGAAGAGGTGGATAGCTTCACTCTGACAACGTTTGTCATCATAAAACCACAAATTAAAACACCTTAGAGTTTTTATTAATAGTCATTTCTAACTTGACTCTAAATTCCAAATTAATGTTTGCTCATTATAAGTTGCCTTTTTATGGCTCACCTGCTGTATTTTGTGATCTAATTATTTAGTATTACTCCTGTTAGACATAGGAGAACCTTGGTGTGCAGATCTAATGTCACTTAGATTTGTGTTATTATTTATTTGATTCAAAAAAGAGCAATGTACATAAACAAGAGCTCTTTAGTTCTACTAGTACGTTTGTGCTAGATTTAAACAAACACTTTTTTTTTTAAATTCTGCAACCTTTGGCATGTTGGGATTATATATAAAATAGACCAAATCACAATAATGCAACTATAATTCTATTTATGTGGCATTAAAAATGTAATACAAAGAGGTGGGTACATAAATACATGAACAGTGTTAACCGGGATGCTATAGATTAAAAATGTATTTAAATTTAGGTGTCCTTCCTTAAGGACACCTATTATTTTTAATTATTTTATTTAATTATTATAATTATTGTAATTGTTATATATATATATTTATACTATATTATTATTATTATTATTATTATTATTATTATTATTATTATTATTATATAAAATACTATATAATATATTAATAATGCATTATATATATATATAATTTACATAATAATAACTATATATTACATATTATATGTATAATTATTATATTATAGTTAATGATTATTATTGTTATTGTTATTATTCTTAACTTAAATTTAATTATTTTTAAGGACACCTATTTATTTTTATTTTTTGAACCCATCCAGAGGACCTGACTTTACTTTTTTTAATATTTCTATCTGGATGATTGAGCTTAAATCTTCCCTTAATAAAGTCTTTAATGGTTGCAGCTATTGTTTTCTTAAAAGCAGACCCTCTTTCAGAGTAAATGTTTCCACTTGTGAAACAGAAGCAGAAAAAAAAAAAGAAGGGTGTCACTGATAACGCTCAAAATTCAACTTTATTACGTTGATTTTATTCATGTTAATTTGGAGAAGTGTGTGTGAAATTATTAAAAACACACGAGGAAAAAAATTTCTTCAGCTCGCAGACTGATTATTAGGTTTTAAATCAATAATCCTCCTTTCTTCATACACACGTAGGAGCACGCCCGGAGAGCCCTGGACTTTCTGTGGGAAAAGCGACAGAGAAACAGCAATCTGGTTGGAACCACCATCAACATCCACTCTGGGGAGTGGGTCCGAAGAGGTGAGAGGGCGTGTGGGGAGTGAGAGGCAGGAAGGAGTGAAGATGAGTAGGAACGGTGAGGAGGTGACATAGGTTTATTGGCTGTTAAAGGTGAAGTCAGACAGGAATGATTTAGGCGTGAATGAGGCCAAGCAGAACCCGTGTCCTCTGGTTTCTGTTGCGTCATGTGGGGATAAATTCTTTTCATGTTTCCAGACAGTGGAGTCGGAGCAGGAATCGACTCGTATTATGAATACCTCCTAAAGGCCTACGTCCTCCTGGGAGATGACGAGTTTCTGCAGCGGTTCAATACTGTGAGGACACACACACACACACACACATACTGATGAATAATTTGATGCATCCTGTTTTATAATAACATTTTAAGACCAAAAACACATTTTAATCAGTTTTCATCTTGTGATGGGGGAAATTAAATATTTTTTAAAATTTTACATCTGGTTTTAGATATATTTATTATGTCGGATCAAACCTTCTCAGTTTTCCAGTGTTAAGCTCTTAATGAATAATAAATTAGTTATTGATTGCTTCTTACTTTGCAGTAAATATTTAATAAGGTTAAGAAATACCACTGAAAGCTTGAAGTCATGTTTTCAGGTGCATTAGGTCGGCAGGCTTATAAAAGCCGGCTCATGTGTGGCATGAAACTTTGTGTGCCTATAAAAAGTTGTCTGTTTTTTTTTTTTTTTGTATTCATCCCACATTGTCCAATTTAGCACTATGCATCTATAATGAAATATATCAGCCAGCCTCCTCTGCTGCTGGATGTCCACATCCACAAACCTTTGCTTCCTGCTCGCACCTGGATGGACTCTCTGCTGGCCTTCTTCCCTGGTTTGCAGGTCCGATTATATTGTGATGTCAATCATTTATTGCCTTTATTGACCCTTTAGATGTTTCATCACCTGTGTACGTGTTGTTTATTTCTCAGGTGTTAAAGGGAGATATCCGCCCTGCAATTGAGACTCATGAAATGTTATATCAAGTGACCAAAAAACACAACTTCCTCCCAGAGGTAATCTTACTGTGCAGGAGTCAAAAGTAATACATTTATTGTTAAACTGCAGCTTAAATCAGAGACACTGGTATTTGAATGTGGACTCAAGTTGCTGTTTACGACTTGAGCTGTCCGTCAAAACTGCATGGAAATAAAGAATGCACTTTGGTTTTTCTCCTGAATGTGTGCTGACCACGTTGCCCTTCTTTGTCTGTCCTCAGGCCTTCACTACTGATTTCAGGGTACACTGGGCCCAGCATCCCCTGAGGCCTGAGTTTGCAGAGAGCACCTATTTCCTCTATAAGGTATTTTATCAAGTAGCTGACAAAATGCATGTTTTCTTTTGACTGACAGCACAGAGGCATAAAAATGTATGCTGTTGAAATCACTTTGTGATGTCGTTCTTGTGTGTAAACGTTTATTTTTGTCATGAAAGTGCCCTGAAATTTACTGAATTTATCAGAAATATAATTTTTCCCAATAATCCAGCAACTCCAGTATAAATATCACAAGCAGCTGTTCATGTTGACTGATCCTGTTTCTGAAATCGTCTCTTCGAGCTCTTCACGTTTCATTGGAGCTCCCTTCATAGCAGATGTGCCACCATTTGTCATAATCACCTTTGCGACCTCTCGTTCCTTCAGGCCACAGGAGACCCTTACTACCTGGAGGCAGGTCGCACCATACTGTTCAACCTCAACCGCTTTGCTCGTGTGCCCTGCGGTTTTGCTGCCATGAAGGATGTGCGCACAGGGAGCCACGAGGACCGGTCAGTACATAAAGGCTCTGTGTTTATTCAACAATGGGAGACTGACTACACACAAGTAGTTACAACATTTAAAAATACTTATTCTTAATATTTATGAAAGGTGTATTCATATATTCAAAGAATAAAATAATCAATTCTTCATAATTGGATTCTTCTTTGTTGAAACATATTTTCTTCAGCTCGTCAGACTGAAGAAGTCTTTTGGATAAAATATGAAATATTTCAGCAAAGAAGAATCCATCCAGAGGACCTGACTCAACCTTGTTAGATTCATCTAGCTGGATTATTGAGCATGCATAAGGACAGATTCGGATTATGTTTAAAGAAAATATATTCTTTAACAATCACAACAAAGGTTGAATCATGTCATCCGGACAGTTTCTTTTGAGGAGAAACGTTTCTTCCTGGCCTGAGGTGGCACGCCTCAGACTGATGAAGTCTTTTGGATGAAAGATGAAACGTTTCTCCCAAAAAGAAACTGTTCAGATGACACGATTTAACTGTTTTATGATTTATTTTAACAATATTCACTGTAAAAATACCAATCTGTAAATAATTTTAGTAACTTTAGTCCCTTCAAATTGTGCATAGATTCAACATACGTGTCCATAGTGATCATTTAAATACAAAAAGCTGTGGTTATAATAGGTGTGTGTGGCTCAACATGTTTACGTGTTCTCTGTTTCAGAATGGACTCCTTCTTCCTCGCTGAGATGTTTAAGTATCTCTTCCTGCTGTTTGCTGAAGCAGAGGACCTTCCTTTTGACGTGGAGGACTACGTCTTCACAACTGAAGCACATTTACTGCCTCTGTCGCTGTCCACAGCCCCGTACTCCTCAGCCCCTACCTCAAACAGAACTGTAATATAATTTTAATGTGTTTTAAATCTTATTTAAAGTGAATAAAGTGTTCAGGTGTTCCAGGTAAGGATAAAATCCGTTCTCACGTTTCAGTCAGATGAGGAGCTGGACGACTCCAACTTTGACTGGACTTGTCCAAACACTCGACTCCTGTTTCCCGACCCCGCCTTCCCTCGTAACTTGAGAGAGCCAATCCGTAGCGCCGTTGATAAAAGCTGCCCGCGTCCTGCCCCTTACAGGTATATATATATATATATATATGCACATACCATTTTAAACAGATTGTCAGTCTGCACTTTTAATCTGAGTTTGGAAACGGCTGTATCCCTTCTGGTTATCCATCCATCCATCCATCCATTATCTTTACCCGCTTCTTCCATTTTGGGTCACGGGGGTCGCCGGTGCCCATGTCCAGCCATCACTGTGCGAGGGGCGGGGTACACCCTGGACGGGTCGCAAGTCCATCACAGGGACACATAGAGACAAACGAGACAAACAACCATTCACTCTCTCACTCACACCTAGGGACAATTTAGAGTTACCAATCAGCCTAACATGCATGTTTTTGGTCTGTGGGAGGAAACCGGAGTACCCGGAGAAAACCCACGCATGCACGGAGAGAACATGCAAACTCCAACCAGAAAGGCCCCTGGACTGGGGTTTGAACCAGGGACCTGCTCGCTGATAGGCACTAGGCAGCAGCTCTACCAGTTGCGCCACCGTGCTGCCCTCTTCTGGTTCTTCTTGTTGTAAAGTTTTAGTATAAAATGTTCTAAAATGGTCAATTCTTATTTACTGTTTACCTTCACTCAGGGAGCCTGGCATGGGTCGTCCTCCTCTCAGGGCTCAGGACTTCATGGCTAACAACCCTGAACATCTGGAGCTGCTAAGGAGGATGGGAGTCAGCCTCATCCACCTGAAAGATGGCAGAGTGCAGCTGGTCCAGCATGCTACACAGGTTACTACTGCTGCAAGAATACACAGAAAATGGAGGATTCTCATAAAAAAATATAAAATCCAAATGGTTGCATGTTTATTTATTTTTTTTTGGTCACCTCTGCACTACATGAATTCTTATTAATCACTCCTCTCTGCCACTTTGTCCTACCTGTACTCAGGCGGTGAGCGCTGTTGCAGCAGAGGACGGCGTTCGATTTATGCAGGAGATGATGGAGCTGTCCAGCCAGCAGCAGAAAGAGCAGCTGCCTCCCAGAGCCATCCAGATCGTCTCGCATCCGTTCTTCGGCAGGGTTGTGCTGACTGCAGGACCAGCACAGTTTGGCACAGACCTGTCCAAAAGTGCCACAGGGGTGAGTTTTGTAGCTCTGCTGTCGATGCTAATGAAGAGTCGTCTCAGAAACAGAATCCAACATCAGGGAACATCTTGTCATAAAACGCATGGGTTTCTTCCTCGTGCGTTGCAGGTTCGAGGATTTGTGACCGTGGCTGAACCTTACAGCGGCTGCTCTGAGATCACTAACGCCGAGTACGTCCAAGGCCACATCGCTTTGCTCCAGAGGGGTCAGTGCATGTTTGCAGAGAAGGCCAGACACATCCAGAAGGCCGGCGCCATCGGAGGCATCGTTATCGGTCAGTGGGGATGGCAAACGACACAAGATGATTACTCAGACAAGATCAGCGCACAATAACTAGATTACCTTGAAGCCATTCAGTCTAGTAGAGTCCTGCTCATAACACGATCACTGAATAATTAAACAGAAGTTTGTTTTTTTTAATTTAACAAAAATATTTGTATACAAATTTATTTTATAACTGCTACAAGTTCTCATAAAATAACTATCAACTAAAATGTTTAGACAAAGCGTAATCAAAGGAATAAGTTAAAGATAGTAGTTTCCTAACTTTTTGTGCGTAACCTCATTCTTTCCAGATGATAATGAGGGCAGCAGCAGCGACACAGCTCCACTGTTTCAGATGGCCGGAGACGGACGCAACACCGACGACGTCACCGTTCCGCTCCTCTTTCTCTTCCACAAGGAGGGCAACATCCTGCTGGAGGCGCTGAAGGAGTACAGAGAAGTGGAGGTGCTGTTGAGCGACAAAGCCAGGGACAGAGGTGTGTCCATATTCTTTCTTCTGATCTCCACATTCCATCCATCACTCCCCTGAGTCTTGTGTGTTTCTTCAAATAAAAGTTATGTGGCGTGTTGCTATCATATCCTTCCTTATTCTTTTCTTATATTTCCAAATCCTTTTATTCCCTATAAACTGTAAATTTATGTCCTTTCTTTCTTTTGGTTTCTCTTGCTTTTCTATTCCCCACTTTTCTTTGGATGAGCAGCAGCCATATTCAAAGGTAAAACTCTTCCTGGAAGCCTGATTGAGGGCAGTAAGTATCTTTTCCAACTTTCAGTGTTTGCTTCATTTCTCTTTCCTTAATGTTATTTAGAAATCACAAAGTTTGTTTTCTCAGTCATCCAGGTATATAACAACAAAAAAGGTTGAATCATGTCATCTGGACTTCGTTTTTTTTGTTAAAAAGAAACGTTTTTGAAACCATTAGTGAAAAGGCCAGACTTCAGGGGTATCTGAGGCAGGCTTGAAACACAAGAGTCAGGGTGGCTTCTGGGTAATACCAGATGGCTAGGCCTCAGACCGACGAAGCCTCTTGGATGAGGGGCGAAACGTTTCTTTTTAACAAAAAAACGAAGTCCAGATGACATGATTCAACCATTTTTGTTGTTATTTAGAAATGTGTGTATCCCTCCTTCATTCCTTTTTTCTTTGCCTGCTAATCACTGGATTCTGTTTGAGATCATGTTGTTTATTTTTTATTCATTCATTTAAAAGAAACAAAACAAATTAATCAAAAAGAAAAAAAACAACATTGAATGAAAAGGGTGTACAAAGAAAAAGAAATTTCTTATAATATCTGCCCCTTATTAAAAAAAAAACATAACTACAAACAACAATTTAGGATTGAACAATCCCCAAAGTGAAAACAAAAGACATCAGGCATCCTTCACATGGTATCATACTTTCCTAACAATTTTAAGTTGTTCATCTTTTTAAACATATAAATTGTTTTAGAAATTTTTATGGTAATATCAAGACAGTTCCACAATCCTATTCCCTGAATTACAACGCAGCTCATTCAGACTAGTTCTAAATGGGTTTTTTACAAACATTTCCATTCCCTTAATGTTATAATGACTCTCTTTTTTTAACTAATTTTAATTTAATATTTTTTATGAGCTTTATACATGACTTGTAAAATACTATATTCAAACAAATCGTAACATTTAAATAATTTCAACTGATGAAAAAATGGATTCGTTGGGTGACCAAAACACTTCCTACTAATAATTTTTTAGATATTTTTTTGTAAAATAAAAATAGGGTTTGTACCGGTAATTGTTTTGCATGCTTTTCCCCAAACTTCAATACAATAAATTAAATATGGAACATTCATTACATTATACAATAAATGTTAATAAAGCTTTGTCATTCAAAAACTTTTACTTCATACAGTAATGCAACTGATTTAGCTATTTTTCTTCCCAAGTAATTTACATGAGATTTCCATGTCGGCTTCTCATCAATAAAGACGTCCCAAAATTTTATTTCATTAACTATGAATTTCAGTACTGTCAATTTTAAATGAGACTTCTAAAATTTTCTTTCTATTACTAAATATCATGTAGTTTGTTTTTTCCAAATTTAATGAAAACTTAAGTTAGAACCAAGTTTGTATTTTTATGAATTCTGCCTGTATCATCTCTTAACATCCGTTCAATATCTTCACCCAGACAAAAACATGTTGTATCATCTGCAAACAAAACACACTTCAAAAGCCCTGACACGTCAACCAGATCATTCACATACAAAATAAACAACTTTGGTCCCAACACAAAGCCCTGAGGAACTCCACATCCATTAACACAAAATTCAGATCTTACATCATTTACCTGTACAAACTGTCTCCTATTTTTCAAACAACTGGATACCCACTGTAGTGCTAATCCTCTAATACCATATTTATTCAGTTTTTCAAGGAGAATGATGTGGTCAATAGTGTTGAAGATCACTACCATAATGTGTAGTGCTATTACAGTATTGTCATTTTTCTCTCTTTCTGAGTTCTTAATGTTATAACTTTTTTATGTTGTATAACAAGACTGGAGAGTATCTGGTATTATTCGCTAATATAAAAAAAGACATCAGGATTTTTATCAGCTACACAACAGCACAGAAGGAACTGTCGATTAGTTTTGTGTCTGCATTCTGCTTGCTGCATGCAGATGCATTTGGTTAAAGGCTTGTTTTTGTAACTATAATATATCACAGATACCAGACGTCCCTCTGGACCTGAGCTGTGGAAGCTTTACGGTTCTGAGTGTAACTTTGTGGTGGTTGCATCAAAAGCTCAACCTCATCTTTTAACACTTCTACAGTCGGCTGCATTTTTTTCCAAACAGGATGAGTACTCACTCATTCTCGCCAGATCTATTTAAATTCACAGTGATATATATATTTATTTATTTATTTTTTTTTTTTGGGGGGGGGCACATGACTCACAATCAACACCATGTTGTCATAGTTGACAGCCTCTTGATAAAAACTGTTCTATTTTTGAACTGAACGGCTAGCAGAAGGTGTGTGTAGATAACTGGCAGCATGTGTGTGTTTGTGTGTGTTTGTACATCTTTTTATGTAAAGCTGTTCATTCTGCCCCCGCTTCCTTTTCAGGTGCAGACGTGCAAGAAGCAGAGGAGGACACTCGAACTGAAGCAACAACTCCCACTTCGTGTGAACCCGTTAGCCAGTCGCAAATTAGCACGGTGGGGCTCGATGAAGTTTCTCCTGCACGGGAGGAAGTCAGTCCTGTTGCTACTCCAGCAGAGGAAGCACCGCAAGAAGAAACGAGTAACATGGATGCACAAGCTGATTCGGCTCAGCCTAAAGAGGAGGAGAGAGACTCTGAGAAAACAAAGGAGCCTGAAGGCGACACGGACTCGAGCAGCCAGTCAGTGGACGAGCTGCTGGCTGACTGGAGGGAAGACTTAGAGGCTTTCAAGCAGATGGAGAAGGATGAACTCTGATGGTCATTGCACACATCATATTTTCAGCTTGTGGTTTCCACCCAGCACAGGGAGACAACTTGGAGCAGGAGTCACCAGTCTCCGCCTGATGAACTTTGAGAAAGTTGCCATGAAGGTTTCATTTGTCTCTCTGTTAAAGTTATGACATGCAAAGGCATCCCGCGCACCGTATCTCTGGACCACAAAGAAGTCCTTGGGTAGACCGTGAACAAAGGACCAGGATTCTCCTCGCCGTCTTCAACAGTTTCTGTCTGTGCAACATAACAAACCCTACAGATTAACTCGGACCAGACAGTAACCACACCTCCCTTTCCAATCCCACTGCTCTATGCATTACTGACTTGGTCAAACTCTCACTCCTTAATTCATTGACCAGTTGATTTTATCCAAATGTGAAGATTATTTGTGTTATTTTATTTAATACTTTAATGGTCTTGGGTCTAATCTGATGTACACATTGAAAATCAATAGACTTTATTGTGGGAGGGGTGGGGTTTGGTGATCAAAATTATTTTTATGAGCTCATGGTGAACAAGAAACAACATTCTTTCTGGAATACACAAGAACTCGTGTGTAAATATTTATTCATCCAGATGCATAAACTGAACTAATTCGGTGCTGTTTGCTCAGGTTCTGGTTTCCACCACAAACAACAGCATTTGGACCATGTTGGAGCAAAACACTCTGGAATTTGTTGGAATAAACATCCACAGGGTGGCGTTGTCGGATCTGTTTCTAGTGCTGCTGGCAGGAGCAGCGATCAGCCACTGATTGGTAATAAAGGTTTAAAGTAAAGCTGGATGGATTGTCTTGATTTTATTGCAAAGTTTATTTTTTTTGTTTTCAGAACTAGATGTAAAATTAAGATGAGGTCTGTAATCATCATGTCAGGATGAGGGCACACCTAACGGAACTAAAGAAGGTAGCTTTTTCATTCATTCAACCTTTATTTAGACAGGTAAATCCCATTGAGCCTCGAGAACTCATTTACAAGAGAGACCTGATTTCAACAAAGAATGATGACAACAATGGACATCAGCAACAATAGACGATCATAAAAAGGCATACAGATATATATATATATATATATATATATATATATATATAGATAGAAAAAGGTATCAAAAACAGCTAGATTATAAGGCAAATGTAGAAAACTAAAAACAGGAACATGTCTGCATTGGTCCTTGCCAGGAGTCCAACAGATTCTTAAAGCCACTAGAGAGGTCAAGGTCGAGATCATCAGGTCTTTTTCTAAGATATTCCAGGAAACGGGGACGCAGAGACCTGTAGGAGGAGATGTATGAAGGCAACAGACCAAGAAGTGATTTAAAGATGAAAATGTACCAGTGAGAGAGTCTGCGTGAAGTTAATGATGTCCAGTTAAACAGTGAACACATGGTGCAGTGGTGGAATGATACTCACAGCCAGTTATGAATCTTAGTGCACCATGATAGATCCACCATCTGCAGGGTTCTTGTAGGAGCATTCATGTAAATAATGTCACCGTAATCAATGGAGGGAAGGGAAGTCATAGCTCGACAATAAACAACTGTGTCACCAGCATTGAAATGTAAGGATTCATCAGGGATGCTCTGACCTACATTACCTATGTAAATTGTAAAGAGGGTGGGTCCTAAGACTGAGCCTTGTGGTACACCATTGTTGACTGTTAAATAACTGGAGGAAGTACCATTATGTTGAACACATTGCCTCCGATCTGAGAGATAGAGAACCAACCAATGGTGTGATCTGAGAAACCGATTTCTGAGAGTTTATGACACAAGATGTTATGATCCACAGTGTCAAAAGCTTTAGACAGGCCTAAGAAAAGTGCAGCACAATAATTCTTAACATCCAGTGCTTCAACAACGTCATTAAGAACCTTCAGTGAAGCAGTCGTTGTGCTGTGTTGTTTCCTGAAACCAGATTGATGGAGAGGTAAGATGTCAACCCATTTCTTGAGCATATAATATTGTACTTTATTACTGCATTATAAGTACTGTATCTACAACTAATATATCCTAAAAAAAAAAGTTTACAAATGCTTATTGTGCTCACAAGGTAGTGACTTAGTCTGAAATGTTGAATATAACAACTCTAGATGAAATATATTAGGTGAACAGATTTGGCTCACTGTTTGGCAAGAAACTGGTCAGTTTTGTCTCTGCCACCCTTAAATAATGCATAATAAACAGTTATTAATGATTTATAAAGTGTTTATAGCTGAATTAATAACATATCTATTAACTATTTATTAGCCATGTATAAAGAGAGCCTTATTGTAAAATGATACCGTGAATTTTAAAGACAGAGTGGCAGAAATTTGAGCACGCTTGTCATATGTGCCATGTTTTGTCCTCTGGATTAAAATCAAACCAAGTAAACATAGGAATTTGTCTTGATGTGAAACTGCAAAGTGTGAATAGTAAATAAGCCACAGTTTGGTAAACAGATTATATTTAGATTAATTACTCAACAAACTGACCAGATTGCATTTGAATAAAGTGTAATCTGATTATAGATAGCAGTGGCAATGAGAAATAGATTACATTTTCTGTTTTACATGCAGATCTGTGTGTGTGTGTTTAATGGCAAAGGATTGTTTTGGTTTTATTTTATTCATTTTTCTCCACTTATGAATATTTTTAAGACTCTCCAACATGAACACCACCTGACACTGCAGTTCATTAAACTCATTTTCTGGTTCCAGCAGGACACTTATGATCTGTTATTATAAAATTATCTTTAAACACGTCGCTTTCTGATGTGAAGTTGTGTCACAGGGTCCAGAACAGTTCCAGGTCCTGTGCAGGGTTCGGGTCCAGCCCTGAAGGCGTCTTGGTGGGGCGCTCTTCAGTAATGGCTGCGCGCGTTTAGCGGCATCCTGGTGAAATGACGCACACTTTACGTTCAGTGCTCTCGGCTCGCGGCTCTTCAGTCTCCATAGCTCGGATCCCGCCCGGTACCAAGCCCGGAAGCCCGAGCGGCTACCCCTCAGTGGACCGAGCGGAACCGGTTCATGTGAGTAGCAGCCTGGGTTACTTTCCGACCATTCAGCGTGCGGTTCGGGTTCGGGTTGGACCCACGTTCCTGCTCTTGTCCTTGTTTCCTGACTGGACCCGGTGCGCGTGTTTTGTTTTCGGTTTCGCCCTCATTCTTCAACTGAACCGAGCACGGTTTACAAAACGGGATCGACGGTGGCGCGTGTTTTTGTCTCTTTTTGGGGGAGGTTGTGTGCGCGTGCTGGCTCGGCTGGGGCGCATTTTGAAAATTTCCACACATCCTGGTTGGCTGCGCGTGCCAGCCCCCTCTGAGGCCGTTTGTTTTCATCCACACAGCGAGGACCTGTGCCGGACCAGGCTCCGGGCCGTTCGTGGAAACTCAAACTACCCTCACGCACGCACCGAGCCACTTTTAGCCCTCGGTTCTCTCCGCGTGCAGGGCTGGAAACAAAGCTGCCAGTGTGTCCCTGCGGCGCAGCTGGACACAGCTGCTGAGCGGCGGCGCGGGTTCGATCCCCGGAGCAGGCGAAGTCGGGGTTTGTATCCGGGTCGGGCTCTTTTCTGGACCTACAACTTCTCATGTGTGTGTTTTTATTTTTACATTAGTCACAAACTGCTGAACATCTTTATTCCTCGTTCTGTGTGATCGGAGGGAACAGGTGAATGACAACTCAGTTAAATTTGATGAAACAGACTCTTTAACCCAACAATGTTCAGTCAGGTCATCTGGTCGTTTCTTTCTTTCTTTCTTTCTTTTTTCTGAGACGTTTCGTCCGTCATCCAAAGGACTTATTCAGGACCTGACTGAACATTGTTGGATTTTTACCTGGATTATTGAGCATAGACTTTGGCGGCTCTATTAATTCATTCTTCCAGGTATGATTTTCCATTGTCAGACAGAAGTAAGTTTTCTAACTCCCTGTCCTCAAATGTGGCGGTTTCTGGTGTTTGTTGACGTGTTGATGTTGTTGTGCATCAATCTGGTGTGAAACTGGTGTGGTCAGATTATATGGCATCATGTCACCGTCAGCTTACATCAGGGTTTATATAGGTTACCATCAGTCCTGTGAGTGGATGTATTAATCTCCCTCCTCCCTACTTTATTCCTGATCTATCCGCCTGCCTCCATCTGCTTTCCTGCCGTTCACTTATATGGTGTCTGCTTATTATTGCTCACATATGGCTTTTTGACTCCTCTCCTTGCTCAGGAGGAGCTATTTTTATCCCCGTCCTCCTTCCTCATCCTCTCAATTATCACCATCATCTGCCCCTGTGCCCTCCAACCCCTCGGCGGAAGAGAAGCAGTTGGGATGAGTGTTCAGCCCCGGTCTGGGTCATCATTCAACACTTGCAATGTCACGATGTGAAGAGGTGGAGGGTTTCCATGGTTACAGGATGTCTCCTCCGGTCCGTGGGCGTGGGAAGGAGTTCCCATGACTGTGTCTTTCGTTTAGTTTGTGTTTGCTCTGCGGGTGTTGAGCTCCGTCGGTGCTGTCAGGTGTGATGAGGTAGTTTGTGTTGCAGTGCAGAAAGCACAAGGCCAGCAGAACCTGATCCCTCTGTTCTGTTTGACTGAGGGCATCACTGGACCGGTGAGTTTTCTACCTGACCGAATGAAAAGAAAGTGCAACCAATTTGCTCATTCCCGGTGTTTGGGTTTAAATGCCTGCGTGCGCTGCAGTCGATGTGCTGATCGACGGTTGAAATCAGTGCTGATGGGTCATTTTTTTTCTCGCCGTTTGTCAGCAAGAACTGGAGGTGAAGCTTTCTGTGCTTGAGTCCAGCACACCATGAAGCAGCATCTTTGTGCATGTGTGTATAAGTGTGTATATGTGGGAGTCCCTGACTGTGTTTACAGTTTAGTTCAGAGTCCGACAAGGGACACAGACAGAGCGCAGTATTGATTTTTTATTTATTCATTTAATATTTCTGTTGTTTTCCTGGAACTGGAAGTAACATTTAACATTTGGTTCCACAGTAGATAAAAAAAAAAACGTTTCAGGTTAGTAGGCATGTCGTGATAACGACAAGCTTCAGTTAAGGTTTACGCAGTTTTATAAAACGCCTCAGCAACATCAAATGTGAAAAGAAGGTGAAAATCGGATGATATAAAGAGAAAGTTAAATGAGTATTTCAGGGGTTTTGTCAGGCTGTTATACGGTTCTGCTTTTACAAATTCTAAAACCCCAACAAGCGTTGGTCAGAATGATCTACAAAAAGATCTGATATTCAGTTAATTATTCATTCACAAAAAATATAAGAAGACTTGCTGAACCTAAATAAATGTATATTTAATAACCTATAGAAAAACTTGTACATTTGAATATTTTATTTAGAAGCGCATTCTCGCTTAAAAAAATCTCAATTGTAGGCTACTTTAAGTTGTTTTTACCAGCTGCTGTGCATCTTCATTTTCTTAGTTGCTAATTGATGAGGCGTGTACAGGCATGGCCAATTGCTGATTTATTTTATTTTATTGTGGCCAATTAAAATCATTCTCTGTATTATTTATTGTTTTTTGCTGAGAAAATTCCTCTGATGTCATTTTTCCATACCTGTGGCTCACCGCATATGCATAAATATCTCAGTAAAATAAAAAAATAAAAAACAGAGTAATTGCAATCTCGTTGCTCAGTATGCCACCACTTTGCTGGTTTTGAGCCATAACAACTCCACGTTGGGGGTTATTAGTCTACTAAAGCGTGCAGTTAAGGAAAGGTTTGTTAATCTTTGTGGAGGAGCGTCTGTTTGCATCTGAAATGAAAAACAGCAAATAACCCACCAGCCATGTAGAGATGTGAAACGTAGACTCGTCTGCAGCTCCTTGAGCTGGAACAGGCAAACGTTTCGCTCTGTTTTCCTTCCCACATGCAGGCTCGCTTGAAAACGGCTCTCACCATTATCCTGCAGCGAGCTCGCCAGTTATGCATACACTGTTTGTTTCTCTCGGTTGTGGTAATTATTACTAATGAATATTATGGTGGGTATTTTGCTCGTGGGTTGGTTTGTTAGCAAATTCAGATGGATCTGGGTGAGACACCGTAAACAAGTCTGACCTTGCATGGATGCTGCGTTGGAGTAGGCCCACTCTGTCAGCCTTGCAGCCGTCTGAGAAAACACATTCAACAGCAAACTTGAGGTGAAGTTCAGCATAAAAATGAATTCAATGACCGTCAAAAAAATCACCAAAAACTCTGAAGTGGGATGTCCTGATGCATGCTCAGTAATCCAGGTAGAAACATCTTAAAGTTAAGTCAGGTCCTCTGGATGGATTAAAAACAAAACGTTGAAACGTTTTGTTTTTAATTCAAAAGATTTCTTCAGTCTGAGGAGCTGCAACAAACTCAGTCTTATAAATAGCACCTTCTCATAGTGGATCAACCTGTTTGCTGGTGACAACCAGAACTAGCTGGTCACACGACCGATCGTTATGCTCTGATGGCTGCGTGCTGTTCACAGAGGGCTGAGTGATACTAGCAATAACAGCATTGTAAGAGGGGGACAGGTGAACAGAGGCCTCCGCCTGTTTAATGATGGACGGCTTCTCTTAACAAAGATGGCCTCCTTCATTCCTCTCTCAAGCCATCGTTCCTCTCCATCCAGGATGTGAACATCTTCATCCCTGAAAGAGTGACCGCTGGCCTGGAGATGAGTGTAGACCACAGAGTCCTGGCCTGATGATGTTGATCTTCTGTGCTGGTCCATCCTTTTGGCCAGTGGCTGTTTAGTTTCCCCGATGTAAGACTGATCACCCTCCTGACACTGAACAGCATACACAATATTACTCTGTTTGTGCCGGGGGACTGGATCTTTGGGATGAACCAGTCTTTGCTGTAGCACATTTTGGGGTTTGAAATGTCTGAAGAGGAAATGTTCCTCCTTTGTATTACAAAATGTTCAGATGGGCTATCTTGTTATTCCATTCCTGTCTAAACTCAACTATTATCTCATCGTACTCCGGCTTGCTTTTACTTCTGGGTGACTGCCGAACTGAATCGCCTCTTGGGAATGAGTAAAATTGTCTGAACTGACCTGAACTGAACTTCTGTCACAGTAGGAATCAGCAGAACAAAATGCTATTGCAAGGAATAAAACATGTGGAACAACATGCCTTTTGGTCTTTAAGGGTTGTTCCCTGAGAACTCTTGCGGTATAAAAACCAGCATTTAATAATCCTCAGAGGAGATATTTTATCCTCTAATCCAATGCTTTAGGTGAAACTGTACATTTTGGTATGGTTGCTTCTCTCTGGCACCAAATGTGGCTCACTGCAGCTTAAATCTAAAATGTGTTGCTTGAGGTCTTGGCACTCTGGAATTGTCTTGCGTACTTCATTCTATTATTGTTCTTTTGTTTTCATCTTTTAGCCTCTTTGCGTTCTCGTTAAGCTGCAGTCTTGTAAGAAAATGCCGAGCAGACCTCGTAGTTTCAGCTCAACTGGCTTTATAGTGTCTGAGAGAGAAATGCAGGCCCCTTACCAGACTATATGTATGCACAAGCGTCTCTAATGCCTGCTTTAGCTGTGTGCGATGTGTTTGTCGATGTCAGACTTCGGGTTTATGCTACAGAACAGAGGCGCTCCTGTTTAATCTGCCACCCCTCCTTTTCCCTCAGTTTTTTCACATCTCCACTTCTCTCCATGACCGTTAATCATCTTCATTCCAGCGCTGACAACAAGGGAAGAGACACTCAACAGCAAACAGCGCATAAAGGGAACACACATTTCCAACAACAGGGCACCATTGAAGAATGGTCCTGCTCGTTCACGTCTCAAGTGTTGGTGAGGCTTCCATGGCTTGTCAGGCTGATGAAACGCTCAAACTGGGACAGTATTAGAAGGAGAACACTTGCTGCCTGGTTAGAGTAAATATTATGGTACAGCGGACCAGGGTTTGGACTGAAGCTCTTTTGTCAGATAAAGCAGCCAAGACACTCGACATACTGCAGCCACCATCCTCCATCAGAAGCACTAGCTTCCGGTAAATTTGCTGCTTCAACAAGATAACATATCATATTTTC